CCAAAAAACTTGTGTGTGTGTGTGTGTGTGTGTGAGGGAGGGTGTGTGTGTGTGTGTGTGTGTGTGTGTTTGGCGATTGCCTAATTATAATAGCCCCCCCCCCCCCCGACCATATAAAATGATATTATATAGATGTTATCTGGAGTTTATTAAGAAAGAAAATAAAAAATTCATGACGACACCTCTTTTATGAATGAACTTGTTGTACAAAGATTAAAGTTGTCCATATTAAATGTTAGAACTTATAATCAATATTCCTTTTGTTTTGAAAATTATCTGGTTCGCTTATGATAATAAATATATCTAAATTGTATTTAACTTCACTCACGGTGCACGGAAATCATATATATAAAATACAGTTTGTCTCGTATCTTCCTCTTATATGATAACAAGGACGTAACAAGTATAAGAGGAAGAGGGCAATGTTTTTACATATCGAGCTGAAAATTCAGTTTTTGAAAAGAGCAAATTCTTGTTTTCTATCAAAGCTATTTTTATCGGCGTAATGACACACACTTTGAAAATTGTTTCTTATCAGTTTGAATTTGTGAATTATGTCTACAATAACGGACCATTTATGAAACACATAAATCAACTGAAGTCGTCATGCCTGGAATACCAGTGGAGATATCAAATGCCAGGAAGGAGTTGGTATCCTAAGAAAACACATGGCTCTTTATTCTTAAACATGAAGTCTACATTGAATTTTATCTAAATACAATTTATATGTATAGTGTTTGTTGCAGCGTAGTTTAATCTGTAAATAATGAAATAAAAGAAACAGATTACTGCACTTTAATAAAAAATATTTCGATGCATTTAAGAATCTATTTCCTTTTTCTCAGTCAGGTTTCAATCGCCGTGATTATTTGAGTTTATTTAATTAGTTTTCAAAAATATGGTCTGATTGGAATATGACATTTCAATACTAAAATATCCTTTTTTTCTCAGATATGAAATAAATGATAAATAAAGCAGCTGTTATAAAATTGTGCTTTGTAATATCTCTACTATCAAACAACTGTGGAACATCGGCTTCTTTAAAGTGGTAAGAATACACGTATTCCTTTCAAGCTTTATCTCAAAGTCATTTAAACATTACATAATAGGATCAGAGCAAACAAGGACCTCCAAAACATCAGTCGAGAGGTGGGATTAGGTGACATGGAGGAGTGAGCATCCGCTGATGACTGGTCACAACCGCCATGTGCTCCATGTCATAATCAAAAAATAACGGAAAAATCCGTCGTTCATTCAGTGTATAAATAAGGGACTAACAATTAGTATGAAAAACGTCAGTCAGAATTTGACTCAATGATAAATTGTATTTGCTGACAAGGTCACTTTATCGACCATAGAACTTACGAAATGATGACTTTAAACGAGACGGCTAATATTCTTGTTTCATCAACTTGCCTGTCAATAATATACCTCGTTTTAGGGACAATATCATGTGTGATTACAATTATAATAATATTTCTTGTAGAGACAATGTCATATGTGATTACAATTATAATAATATTTCTTGTAGGGACAATGTCATATGTGATTACAATTATAATAATATCTCTTGTAGGGACAATATCATATGTGATTAAAATTATTATTTTGATAAACAGAGTGACAGCTGTTTAGGTAAGTAGGCAGTCTTTGTTAAAAAAAAAATTCCCTAATAATTTTAATTTAGCACTTTATCACTTTTTGAAGAGTTTTTAATTATTATAAATATTTCAGAAATCTAATAATTGAAACATCATAAAAAACCCGCCTATTACAGTGCAGGGAACTAATTGTGTTACATAAACCAGCATCAGGATCAGCATACGTAGGATCAGGATAGAACTAGCATCAGCATCAGCATTTAAAAAAACAGCATTACTTGGATCAGCATCAGCAAGCAAAGGATAAAACTAGCATTGACCAAAGTGAAAACAGATAAAGGAAAGTCATTTAATACAAATTACAAATAAAAATTACCCCCAAAATTATTTTTAATGGCTTAAAATAGCGATACTATTTTTGAATTATCCACTTCCAGCAGGATAATCCTACTTTCGGTAGCATTACTAGCATTGACCTAGTTTCAAACCAGCATCAGGATAAGGATCAAACCAGGATCCGGATAAGGATAACTAGCATCAAAATCAGCAAGCAAAGGAAGCATCAAAATCAGCAAGCATAGGAAGCACTAAAATCAGCATTGATGCTGTAACAAAATTAGTTCCCTGCACTGTATGAATCTTCAAACACATTTTAGAACAGTTGTTTCATTCAGATTCATTGTGTTATTCTTTCATTTTATAGAGAGTGTCCATTAGGAAGATTTGGTTTGAACTGCATACAACGATGCACATTAGGTTTCTATGGGCGTCTTTGCACTAGTCCCTGCGGTTATGAAGCGTACATATGCCATTATGTAAATGGGTGCCCAAAAGGTGTAACACATACCAGTATTATTTTCTCTATATTATAAAAACCAATTTGCTAATTCAAAGTTGAAGATTTAATCTGTTTAAAGCAACCCAATATATGCCTCATTTTTCTTCATTTGAAAATGACTAATAAACTAAAGATACAAAAATTGCCCACAGTAAAAACAAACCTTCTGCAATAAATACACATTTAACATCTTTGCAAAACTTTACAGATACAACAGAGGTGAAAAAACGGATAACAGAAGTAACCGAAAATACTAGGGCACTTTCATCAAAAACAAAGAAGAGTATGGAATCTTCACAAAAAAGTAAGCAAACAAGCGAAGAATTATTGTTCCAAAAAATTTGAAAAAATTATCTATTGTCAAAACACGGTGAACCACAAAAATACATCATGTTATTAAATATATGTAATGTGCTCATGTATTTTATTTGCAAATATTTCGTTGTTTTAAAGTAACCAATGTTTTCTCTTTCAATGAATAGTATTTGTTTTGATAAACAGTCTGCTTGGAATGTTTTAAACAAACCAAAAAACATCTACAAAATCTGCAAATCTTTCATTTCTTAGACAATTAAGTAAACCAAACCGAGGATGTTATAAACGATGACGCACTGCAGTTTCAGTCATTTTTAAGCTGAATAAGTTTTTTAACTGATTTTCATGATTCTGTTCACTTATTGACAATATTTTAAATGATATATGGTGAAAAAGGTTTTCTTTCATTTCCGAAATTTATTTACAGACAACACTATATGCGTTCCTAACAGAATAATACGTCCAAAAACAACCAAAGAATCCAGCAAAATGATATTCCATTAGGGATCATCTACATCAGAGAAAACTGACCACGTGACTGGAAGATCTACATCAGAAAAAAAACTGACCACGTGAGTGCAGTGAATATTTTCCACGTGACTGGGAAATCATCATTGGAGAAAACTAACCAAAGGAGCAGGAGATCTACATCAACAAACAGAATCTTCAACAATTACAAACTAGAATGATCGTTCAATGTTGGCCTTTTTTTTACTTTTAATTAATTTTATAGCAGCATTTTTCATCGGGGGAGTTTTGTTTTACTTGCTACCATCAATTAGGTGAGCATTTTTATCCGTTTCTATTTTAATTCAACTTCGTAGTGGTTTTTATAATTAAGATTTTTATCAATAGCTATTAAACAACCTTTCTTTTTGCCTAGATGCAGATGTAAACTATCCAACCCTTGTCATTGGAGATATGAATATGAATGAAAAAATGGGGGGAAATGCTACAAGAGAAAAAGTAATCATTTTCAAAATTTTCGCTGATGCAATTTTGCAATTTATTTAAAAAAGATCATACAAGTGATACCATCAAACAAAACAACGAAAGTACAGAGGACGCACACACTTCAGAGAATCATTCAGAAAAATTTGAAGACTATGATGAAATCAGTCATGATCAACACAGCAGCTGAAGTGCTGGATGAGAAGGATATGGGGATAACGAACAGTATTCAATCTCAAAGTCCATTAAATAATATACAAAATAAGAGCAGAGCAAACACGGACCTCCGAAACATCAGAGGTGGGATCAGGTGCCATGGAGGAGTGAGCATCCCCTGCCAACCGGTCACACCCGCCCATCTTTGTTTAAAAGAAAAATAAAAGCTAAAAGTTTCTCAAATTATCAAAGTTTTCGATAAAGTTTTTCAATGTGTCAAAGTTATCACTATATATAGTAAATCAAAGTTTTCAAAGTGTCAAAGTTATAACTACATAGTTAACTATAGTCAACCATAGTAAGCTATCGTTGACTTTAGTATTTTTTTGTGAGGGATATATCTTCAATGTCTCTCCTGCACATTTATTATGATAATCATCATTATTTTAACGGACATAAACAATGGTCAAACCAATAAATCTACTGAAATAATCATGGACTCCTGGAATACCACATGTTATATCAGATGCCAGGAGGGAGTTTGTATCCTAAATTATCAGATGGTCCTTTATTCTAAAACCTACCTGCACGTGTTGTACGCGGGGTGTATACCCCTTTCTTTTTACTCTAGTATTATTGTCTGAAATATTGATGACATTTAATTATAATTATATTATTATTATTATGTCTATAAGAATAAATGCACTATATACCGGTAGTATATGATCCCTTATCATATGTATACCGATATACTAGTATACACTTATCCACTGGCTGTGAGTGGGATAGCTCTTTTATCAAACCCGCGACAGGAACTATTCCCCGAGGGCTTGCCCGAGGAGAATAGTTCCTGTCAAGGGTTTGATAAAAGAGCTATCCCACTCACAGCCAGTGGATAAGCGTTTTATTATACTGATGTACCTTGTTTTGTAGTAATATTTTAATTGAAAAAAAGCAAAATGTCAATTTCAAGTAACATTTAATTTAAAATTTCAAAAAACAAGAAATTTTTAACAGTTTTAAAAATCAAATGATGTTAACATCATAAAATTTACTAGGTATAATTAACTCAACATTATTCATGACACAGTAACATTGATCAACACTATTTTTTCTGCACTTGATTTTATAAGGGGAGTTTACTGTTTATTTGTGTAAATGTTAATGTTGACAGTAGAATTGTGTATGTTGACCCCACATTCAGTGTTTTTTGTAGAGGAAGCTGATGGAGCGCTTTGTACACTTTTAACATTGTGTAGTTCAACGTTTTCTAATCCGGCAAAAAATGTGTCGACATCAAAATCATCTAAGAAATCAATCTGATTCTCCTGTACACCAGAGTCACTGCAAGCTGCTGCATTAGAATTTCCTTAGGAAGTTTTCGAACTTTCACAAAGTATTTTCGAAATTTCAAATTGTTTCTGGTCACTCAACCTCGTAGAGTAAGACATAATACTAGATATATTTTTGTGACCAGATATTCCAACTATATGTCTTGCCTCAATTCCCTGCCTGTCAAGATTTGTTATGCACGTGGCTCGAATACAGTGATTGGTATATATAGTCGATAGTTCAGCACTCTTACTAATAGTGGACATCATCGCCGCAAGCGTATTTTTTCCAAGGGGAATGTTGTCGAACCAAACCGACTGCGTTTCTGATACGGATGATTTATGGCGCTGCCATAGATTTGGGTTATCAGGATTCAGCTTCACAATAGACTTCATGAAACTATTCACAGGGCAACGGGGATTTCCTGTTAAAAAATAAACATATTTAAATTTGCATGTATTTAAATAATTTTTTTCTTTGATTATTAAAAAGATACAAATTGACAAGTCAAGTGTACAAACCTGGCATTTCGTACATCCTGGCCTGATTTGTTTGGTCGTCCGTGAGATCGTCCCCTCTATGATTTTTCTCCTCCCTATGTTTGACTTTGCACACATATCTTTTCCCCTCTGGATCTGTTCTCACTGAGAAATCTGTTTTTTGAAAGCTTCTCAAGTTTTCCTGACCACGGTTGCAAAAGTAGTAAACTATTTCGAAGAATGTTCTGTTTAACAGCCCCATAGCTGTATTCAGAGAAAATGCTTCACTTTCATAAAGTTTGTTTAGATCTTCTGTTGAGATTGTTTGTTTATGTTTTACCTCGGGTGCTCCCTCGCGCTTGATCTTCACCAACATAGCTTTAAAAACTTCGTTGCATGATTTAAACTCATCTGAATTAATGATATCCACTGATGTTTTCTTTAAAAAATGTTTTTGAAGTCCAAACCTCATTGTTATTAATGATTTCTTGGCATAGTAACTTCCGTCGGGTTTTCTCAGTTCAGCGTAAAATCTCTTCAGTTTTTCGGACATCTCCACAATCGACAATTTTTCCATATCCTCGAGGCTTAATTCATATTTTTCAATAAGGTAGTCTTGTAAGAGCTTCAGGGCGGTTTTCACCACCTTTTGGGTGTTTTTACTATCCCTAGTTTGTAAAAGAGCGTCAATATCGGCATCGTCACAGGCCTCGTATCTACTCCCAGACGACATTTTGTTTCGGAACTACAGTTGGAACTCTTCAGTGTTGGAGGAATCGCCAACCATTAAAATGACAGGAAATGAAAATTGGCGCTAAAATTTGCACGAAAATTTTCCGAGGGGTGGGTAGCAAAAACTATACCCCGGGGGTATAGCTTTCTATGCGGGGAAATTTTCAGACTATGAAGAATAGTTATTTTACCTTCTGAACTTTATATAGGAAACATTTTAACAGAAGTATAATAATACAAATAATTTCGATACCGATAATGCATTTGATAATACATTCCAAGGTTTACCAGTTGGATCCCGATAAATGATTTCGCGTGATTTACCTTCCAATGAAAGTACAAAAATAATGGTGACGTATAAAAAAACTGGCGCACCATCTAGCGTTAATTCAGGCAATATATGTTTTTTGCATGCCATCTAGCGACAATTCAATGAATAATCGTTGGTTTTGCATTGGTGATTGTTGGTTTCGCATCGGAGTCTGTTGATTTGCAAACGAGTCTGTTGATTTTATTTTTAAGGTTGTCTGTTTTGTATTTCATTATGTTTATGAAATTAGCTGTTAGTTTTTCATAAACGTCTTTTTCGTGATGACTTTAAGTTTTCTATCGTCAACTTCCCTTACTTATGCAGCAATATACCTTCATCACCTGCATACGGAGTATATATATCTCAGTTGATTCGATACGCAAGAGCGTGCTCTACGTATGAGCAATTTCTTAAACGAGGTAAATTATTGACAAGCAAGTTGATGAAACAAGAATATCAACAGTCTCGTTTAAAGTCATCATTTCGTAAATTCCATGGTCGATACAATGACCTTGTCAGCAAATACAATTTACCATTGAATGAAATGCTGACTGACGTTTTTCATACCAATTGTTAGTCCATTATTTTTACACTGAATTGACGACAGATTTTTTCCGTTATTTCCTGATTATGACAACGAGCACACGGCGGGTGTGACCGGTCGGCAGGGGATGCTCACTCCTCCATGGCACCTAATCCCACCTCTGATGTGTCATTACGTTAAATCATGTTGTTTAAATATGTAGGGAGGTCCGTGCAATAGCCCCGCTTAGCTATAAAAACCGACATTCATAAGCAACTTTATGCAAAATACAGTGTTCAAACTGCAAAAGACTACACATCGATGTGGTCTAAAAAGTATTTGATTCTACAGTAAAACATGCATTTCAATTGTACAGGTTTGATACGTGTTTCGGATCTGATAATTTTTTTTATGACGATCGTGATTTATTGGAGCACAATGTCCACGCATTTGTTTGATCTCGGCAATAATCGTGGTAGAATTGTGGTTAGTTGTTGCAATATTGTTTCAATTAATGATTTGTTGCTTTTACTGGGTTTCACTTACCGTAATTCCAAACAATTGAAACATCAAGTTCATAATAAATGTCTTTAATTTTTTTTTCAGTAAAAGAGAAGACATGCCATTAATTTCTGGTATTTTACGTTTTCCAAACATGGTACACTAAAATACAATGCAATTTTTAAAAAGCATAAATAATTGAAATACATTTTTTATTCATAAAATCTTTAACTTTTCTCTCTTTGATTGCAGAACCCAAGTATGTAAAGAATCGTCATAACAGGATCTGCAAAACAAGGAAATAGATTCTACGACAATTACAGAAATTTTAGAGAAGAAACAAAGTTTCGCTAACGCTCAGAGATGAAGATTCCGATAGAAACGGGAACCCCGAACAAATGATAGAAATCTGTACTGAAATTAAATTTCTCATCAAACAATGTTCCCGATGGGCAAAATGAAGCAGGTTGGGAAGGAAGTTATCCTAGTGATAAGAAGCCTTGGCCATTATTGGTACAATTTAGTAAAAATTCGAAATCACAGTGGAAATTGATTAAAGGAAATATTGGACAGTGAGGACGTTTTGGATAGTGAACATGGTGTCGAATATAATAACACGAGTGTTGGAAAGAGACTCAAAACGTCAATGTGAAGAATTGAAATGTCCGACGAGTTCCGAGGAAAAGTCAGCATACTACTAAAAAGAGGAATTCTACTAAATGCGTTGATTACCGACTTTCGAACTTTACGCTTAGATACTTTAACATCATGTCCAAACAGCCATTTAATTTTTTCAAAGAAAATTCAAAGAAAAATAATTCTTAAGTAAATCTGTCAAAGATTGTTTTTCTCATAAGGCCGTAGCCTGATGAACAAAATGAAAAAAGAAGGAACTTTCAATAAGGAAGGATATGCAGATAACGAACAGTATTCAATCTCAAAGATACAAAATCAGAGCAGAGCAAACACCAAAACTAAAAACAAAAACTAAAGCACATCGACGGAACAAATCATATCTTAAAGGTCAATGTTAACTACTTGAAGTTGGTATGTTATATTTTCGATTCAACGTTTCATTTTACTCATTTAAGTACCTAAATGAAATAAAAAATACATATAAAACTAAATCAAAGGTCAATGGAAGTTTGTCTTCTGAAGTATATTAAAAGTAAATCATATCATGTATTACCATGCAAATTTCTTCGTAAAAATGAAGATTTCAAGCAATTTTATTAAGGATAATGCATAAGATTTCTTCCCAACATGATATTCTTATTTTTTTTAAAGAGCTCGTTATTTGTACATGTGCCCGTGTAATATCTACTTTGACACTTTTTAATCTGGATTTCCACAACTCCATTTAAATTCAGGTTTACAATCTCTAAAATTCTATTATATAGTGACTATGTTAGTAAAAATAACTTAGTTTTTATCTTCCTGATCTATACGTAATGCTTACGTGTAACCTGTCAACAGAGAATCCTTATTCCTTCTTGTCACCTGATCCCACATCTCGAATTTCCAGGGATCCCTATTTTATACCCTATTCTTATATTTGTATTATTTAATGATTTAATGAAATCTCTCACTGTCCGATATATTCATCTTTAACGTTTTTTTTTTATTCCTTGGTCATTAAATCAGTCTTGCTTTTAAGTGGAATCTAGCGTTGTGTCTTGTTTTGCCTGGCTTATTTCAATTTGTTTGTGTGATCATTGTTTTTAACATTTGAATTGACGACGGGGTTGTCCGTATAAGTGGCCAACATTTAAAGCTAAAGGGGGTTGTACACGTTCAACAGGAGATGGAACCTCTTCTAAAATTTAATCCTATCTCTGTTATTTCCAGTGGTCCGTGGGTTTTTTCCTGTCTATGACCCGCCTTTTCCACTGGATTTATAAGTACATATATCAACTAAATCTACAAGTACTATTTCCATTCTCACATAAAATTGACAAAACTTAAAGCCAATGAAACAAAAACGTAAGAACTATCGCATGAATTGTAATTTCAATATATAAAAACAAATGGCATCAAACAGATGTTAAAATACGAAAAAGAATAAGATCTAGAAAATCGAATCATTTACGTTTTGACATTGTCATAGAAAAAAATCTTTCATTAATGCTGTCTCCTCTAAAATTAGTATTTCAAATATTCTATAGTCGTTTAAATAACATTACTAGCAAATATAACGTAAACGTAGTATGTTTTAGACTGATTTCATTTATACTGATTGATAAGCCTTTGTTTGTAAGCTTAATTGAATAAAAGATATTCCATTTACTTGTTTTAATATAAATTACTATAGTATATAGAGGCTGGTGTGAACGATGGACAGAGAATACTTTCTTCAACAAGCACCTGACTCCGGGATCAGAAGACAAAGAGGAGCTCACTTTTGATCTCAATTTCTGCTAATTTTCGTAACAATTATTTCAACGAGCACACAGCGGATGCACAATCTTCAATGGTACCTGATCCCACCTCAGATGTTTCGAAGGTCCGTACGTGTTTGCTCTGCTCCTATTTTGTATTGTTTATGGACTTTAGATCTTGAATACTGTTCGTTATCTCCATACATGTATATCTTATAAAAAGAAACAGGGCCCACGGGTAAATTCCACTTTCAGTTTTTATGCCCTGGTTTCCGAATTTTCTCTATGTTTTATGCTCTGTTTACAAATATGTGTGGTTCGATTTAAGATTCAAATAAAAAAAAGTTATGTGTCTTTCTCTTACACTGAACATATTTATTTTTATAAACAACAAAGTTGTTTACTTTCAATGTTTTTGAACGTTATAAAGAAAGTGACTCAAACTATATTATAATCATATTGCTTAATTGTATCACAAATAACTGCATGATTTGAAGTAAAATAATTCACTCTAACATATTAAAGCTTTCTAACATCTATTTTATTATTTGATCCAATGTGTATAGATACAGGAAAATTATAGTAAATCACTCAGGGAATGACAATTTCCTGGAACAAACTTCCCTGCAAACAAATATAAAATGCAATGTGAGGAAAACTCCCAATTATTATGGATATTTATAGCTAATACTTATTACTTCACATTATTACCCATGAGAAAAATTCCAAAATTTGGCGAGTAGACAAAAATCGAGAGATTCATATTATAAAGGTTAAGGCATGATTGCTATTTATTGGAAAAATGATTAAGAAAATAACATTTCATTATTAGCACCCCTAAGTACATGTCAAGCATGTATACATTAAAAACACACATATATACAATATATATATATATATATAAACAATATAATATCGGAAGTAATTGCTTTATTTTATTCAAACCCGTATAACCAAATGAAGAACACAATACAATACACTACATCGGCAATGAAATTATACTTAGTTACAGAGCAAAGGTTTTTGTTTGTTCTTCTTGCTTTTAAACATATTCCTTTACATCACATGTGGTGGGTCGTCTTTACTTTGCAGTACATAACCTTTTACAGTTTCATGGTTTATATTTGGAAGAAAAAGTTTGTTTGTTTGACTCCAAAATTCCAAGTTTGCTCTTCACCTCATTAACAGTTATTGCAATGGGGGAATTTTAATTTTTAGACATTATTGAGAAAGATTGAAAAAAAGTACGTATGATAAAAAAGTACACATTGAGTACGGACACCTTTCTAACCAAAACAGGTTATACACACACAAGTTGATTTTACTGGGATCTAAACAACCTTGTTTAAAGTCATGATTTTGCAAATTCTGTGCCTGTTATAATAGTCTTATTAGCAAATAAAATTAAACTTACACTGAGACGTAAAGTGGATACCTAGTTTGATAGCAATGTTTGTTGTTTTTATATTGAATTTGTTGAGGGAATGTCCAATCTACCTGAACACATTGTAGTGTTTGAGGTGCTCGTAACCGGTCGACAGGGTATGCTTATTCTTGATCCGTCCTCTGGGATCTCAAGGGACTCGTGTTTTAGACCGTCATATGTTGTTGTTACAAAAATTAGACTGATCGCTGTTCTCTATGTTCACATGGTAACGTGAAACCTTCATTACAAATTCAGTGCATACCATATCATTGCCCAAGGATTGGTTCAAGCACTTCACTAGGGTTATACAAGAATCAAAGGTTACATAAAAAAAATGGAGACAAAATCTGCTAAAGAAGATTGATATGATCAAATAACTGTGAGAAGCGGTAGCAGAGTCACAACATCTGATTTTAGGTAGATTTATGTCAAATCTGATTTTCGTCTTTTAAGATACTTCAATTTTTTAGTATATATTTTTTTAATTTGTCCCTAGATATCTTGATCTCACGGAGTTAATATTTCAAGATATGGTCCACTAGAATTAAAAATAAGCATAATCAAATATTTTCCGACACTTTTCTGCAGTGACAGGATACCATTCGCTTAAATTCACATTATATTTGTAAGTTTTCTTTGTAGTTTAAAAAAGTATATCTTCATTGCCTGTTAGCAAGTCAGCCACCTTTTTATACATTTTGAAAGTTTTAAGTGGAGACAGGACAGGTCAAATGACTAAAAAGACATTCGCTGTATTTTTCTACAAAGCCAACTGTGAAATTGATTTGAAAACCAATTTTGTGTATACTCATGCGTAGAAATATACATGGAGAAGCGTGCGTTAACGTGACGTCGCAATAAAGCTGTTGCGACGTTAGTAAAAATGCAACAATATAGGGCAGCGAGAAATTCAAATATTGAGTATATTGTCGGTGCTTTCAAACATGTAAAATGTAAATATAAGGGATGTTTTTAAGTTTAGTGTGAATTATTGGTGTGTGAATCACACAGACGTGCACGTAGGCATATTTTTCATGAAGCGCTAGCGCGCTTCATGAAATATGCCTACGTGACAAGTCTGTGTGATTCACACATCAATAACTCACACAAAACTTAAAAACATTCCTTACGTTATAATCGATGATGATATACATGTTAAACGTTGTTAAAATTAACATTTCTTGTGTAATTTTATTCTAAATTCTAAAATCGTTTTTAAACATTTAATTTGAGAAATTATTAATATTATATTTTTTTAAAGATCTTGCCATCATTTAGATATTGTTAAGTTGCCCAATCCACACATTTGTTTTTCTTTGCCCTGTAGTCTGACGTCAGTAACGTCATAGACGTAGTGTTTGAATTCTAAGTGAAGCGAGATCAAGTACACACACGTGTCATGATCAGTTTTATTTCATAATAAACAGGTCACAGTCAATGTATCGTGATAAATTTCTGAAGCAGATTTTTTAAAATTAATATTTATTCGTGTTCAGTAGCAGAGATTCTCTCTATTTAGATAATTTTGCATGTTTATGTTTTCGTGTGACATCACAATTGATTTCCCGCACTCGGAAAAAACGAACGTGAAGCGTTTTTATCATGCTTACGTATAATTCAACGATGTCCCGTGCGATATTGAAGTAAGCTTCACCCTGTGATATTTATGCAGTAAATAATTGTGTTGAAGGACTGACATTCAATCGTAAATTTATAAATATTTATTGACAGAATTTTTTCCAAATGAGGTTTTTTTTCGTTGAAGCGGCCTTGAAAAATGCAGAAATTATCCCATCTAAATACTATATAAAATTAAAACAATTGCTTTCAGATAGTTTAAACACTATGAATATTCGGAAATATTTGACTATATAGTGTTATATATCATATTTATCGTTTGTGCATAAAAATTCGCATTATGGACGCCGTTATGGGCTCGTAAACATGAAGTATCTAAACTCCATACAAACTCTAAACAGGGCGGTATTTGTGGGGCGATATTTTTTAAATAAGTTGAGAAATCCCATGACAGGACCGCTTTAAAATGTTAAGTACATATTAAATTAGTAATATGAAAAATACTAAAAAAAATTCACTGACAGGAATTTTTTCAGCGAAAGGTCCTGTTCCTCCTTAAGGCAAATTTTAAACTCTTCAACTTTTGTTCTGATGTCAATGGATGCGGTATTTCATGTATACAAATTACGTAGCAAAGTTGGGGTGCTTGGTCAAAATTTGGTTTTCTTTTGATGATCAGGTCCCACCCTTCTCTTCCACTTTGGTAATTGCAGCCACTTTTCTATCAGAAGTATTCGTCTTGTGTCACCCTAGCTTTAAATGTTTTCACTCAACAAAAACCTGTGTTTAATGAAACGGAATAATCTCCACAAGACTGATAAATTTCATTTAAAATTTCTTTTGCAATTACATAAAAAATACTTTATATCATGCACTTATATATAGGTTCTTAATTCAGCCTTCATTCTAGTTTTCACTGGGACAAAATTGTCAATATGTACAACTTCCATTTTTGGTTGTTTTTAACTTTTGAAACTAAGTGCATATGAAAGTTTAGACAGAAAAATGTCATGAATGTATCTATTCGGGCTTGACATTGGTATTGGTCATTTGTAAACAACAACTGTCTATGGAATATATTACTTGAATCATTTTATTATCCCTTGAGCCATTTTAAGAATTTGTTTTTCCATATCAGGAAAAAAATCCTTTCCAATGTCCTTGTTTTGTTTTCATAATGCCTTCATTGTATATCTTTTTTTACAAATTAGCCAGGCTATATGAACCTGTCCATAGCTATGAAACTAAAGTAGTTTTTAATTTAGATGTATTGATTTGTGAAAATTGAAACGGATATTTCCCTGTAATAATATAATTCAATCATGTGTATTATGCCTGACTTTTGACTAAAATGTTTGCTTTGTTAAAGTTAAAATGATGCTGATCCATTTGCTCCTTTTTGTGCCTTTATACGTTTTTCCGTATATACTAGCCGTTAGCAGTGGATATCGAAGGTAAATAAAACATTTTTATATATCTTCATGTCAAATTGTATTTCACGAATAAATTATTTTGATTTTTTATAATACAACTCAACCATGAGATAAGTGAAAAATGTATTTTTAAAGAAATTTAAATTATTACTTCACAGATTAAATTTCTTAAAAGTGCTTAAGATTGATAGAATATGTTCTTTTATGTTCCTTGATACTCTTTTTTTTCGTGTCAACTTATTCAAATTTATATCCACAACTTTTCCACTAATAAAAAGTAAATCTCATAATACGAAAAGCCTTTCCGTAGCTTGTTCTTGTTGCTTGAAACACTAGAGAAGACACGAGAAATTGAGTTGAGTGAAAATGTCATTTATTGACCAGATAAATAACGAAAGTGAACAAAGACACATAAATATACAATATTACACACAATCATGTAAATTATAGCTGGGATAAGGCCAAATAATGAATAGTTTCAACTTAGATATGATATATTGCGACTTAGTGCTTATCCCAGCTATTGTTATATAATGATTACCAAGTTTGTGTAACAAGAAGGTGGCGTGAACAAAGAGGCCACACAGCATGCTAAATGCTTGATCTTATACAATGAGGAAAAATCTATACAACAAAAATTCAACAATCAAAAATTTCCTTTTCAAATATTTATATTATATGGGAGGAGGATGGGAGGTGGCGGTAAATTGACTTCACCTCGTGTTTCTGCAAAATTGAATTAATTGAGCACTCGATCCCGATCAAGCCGAACCCGATCCAAACATGAGTTCGATCCCGATCCAGTCGACCCCAGTATATAAAATTCAGTAACTGCAATTTTAATTAACATAAGTCAATCACAATGTAAAAAAGATTGTATATAAAACATTTTATGAAACATAAAATTTTATTTATATCCACAACTTTTCCACTAATAAAAAGTAAATCTCATAATACGAAAAGCCTTTCCGTAGCTTGTTCTTGTTGCTTGAAACACTAGAGAAGACACGAGAAATTGAGTTGAGTGAAAATGTCATTTATTGACCAGATAAATGACGAAAGTGAACAAAGGCACATAAATATACAATATTACACACAATCATGTAAATTATAGCTGGGATAAGGCCAAATAATGAATAGTTTCAACTTAGATATGATATATTGCGACTTAGTGCTTATCCCAGCTATTGTTATATAATGATTACCAAGTTTGTGTAACAAGAAGGTGGCGTGAACAAAGAGGCCACACAGCATGCTAAATGCTTGCATGACGCATGCAGCGCCACCCAAGGAAAGGCATTTCGTGAATTATATGCTGTTCAATTTTAATTGTAGAAAAACATGTGTTTTTAACAGATACTAACATTGTGTAGTGAATAACATGTACCTGTAGTGACTAAATAAGCATAAACATTCAAAAATAACCCACGTAGACACAGAGTTATATCTTAATAAGTAACAAAATATAAAGGACAAAAGTTACTAAACCTGTGAGTAACTTACATTTAACGAGATTAAAGAAAGGGCCATATGCTGCCTCATAAACAATATTTAGAAACAAACCTTAGTATCATGAGCTCATTTCTACAATTTATATTTTATGAACATCCATATGCTGACCTTATGCACAATATCCTGCGGAGCTCCAACTAACATCCAGTTTCAATAAGCAGCTGTACGCTGATGTCATACACAAACTTTTTAACTTCTAAGCTCATGACAATGATACAATTTTGTAAACAGACATATGCTGACCTGATACACAATGCTCAAGAACAAACTCCAAGCTGAGTTTCAACTGTCTAGTAATAGATTTTATGAGCAGCTGTATGCTGTCTTGAAGTATATTAGCTTGCAAATTTAAGGGCAATGTGAAGAGTAAAATGATCATCTAATGAACGAGCTAGCACTTTATTTTCTTAGCGAACACTTTGCAAGATCACTGACCGAATAACTGTTTCATTAAAGCAGCTATATACTGACCTCGGAAGGTTCAAATTTGTTGTTTCATATTGATGTGATGCCTTTAAAATTTTGTATCGGAGCAACCATTTGCTGACCTCATAGATTTGATTTATACATTTAATTACTGAAATGGGTGTAAAAAGTTTATCAGATCCTAATTAAATTGTGGAGAGAAAAACAGCCATTTGCTGACTTCTCTCTTGCGATAATCGGTGGCTGTACATGTATAAGGGGAGCATTTAGTTTGGAATTCTTTACACAAATGTGGAAATTAATTTTATTTGATGTGATGCTTTTAAAACTTCACTATTTATCGGAGCAACCATTTGCTGACCTCATAGACTTGATTTATACATTTAATTACTGAAATGGATGTAAAAGTTTATTAAATCCTAATTAAATTCTGTAGAATTGTAAATATATTGTAAATATGTTTTAATGCAGGACCACAATGAAAACTAGCTTTATGCTAATTGTGTTATCCTGGATAAATAAAGGTTATTATTATTATTATTATTATAAAGAAACAGCCATTTGCTGACTTCTCTGACTTTCGATAGTCGGTGGCGGTATACATGTATAAGAGGAACATTTAGTTAGGAATTTTTAATAACAAGTGTGGAATTTAAAGCCTGAAGGCATTTATTTTAATGTAATGTCTACCTGTATTTGAGTGCCAACGACCATGTTGATGGATTTCATTTTCAGATAGACCATTGTTAGCTGCCACTAGCAGTACAGACGCGAAAACTATCACCAAAGTAAAATGATCAGTCAAAACTTATTGCATGTTTCAATTGGGATGCCACAGAGTGTGCCTAACTGGTTCATAAGATTTGAAATGTAATAAAGGACCAGATGTGTGTTCATGCTGAGTAATGTATGCTTTTGAGGCATGAACTGTACAAAATTGGCAATTCAAGTTATTGACTGTTAGAGTAAGTATCACTGGATGCCTATCATTCATAGTTTGGAATACCTCAGTGTGATCTAATCTGAATTATCATCATAGAACATTATGGCTTGTCTTTGAATGTTGAATGTGTTGTTTACATGATCGAGTTCTCCTAAGCTCACAAAAGCATTCAAGGCAAGAAGAGAGACTGCTGATAGTATGGTTCTTGAGTCTGCTTTTGGAGAGTGTGATGTAAGTCAGATACTAATTTGTTAAGAATGGGTTTTGTAATTGGAAGACTAGTGTCAACAGATCTTGCTAGGTTCTTTCCTCACCATAAAGGAGTATTTAAGGTCATCTATAAAATGATTAGGTAACTTATGGCCGAAATATGTGGATTAATCATGGACGAGTTTTGAAAGTATAACAGCTATATTATCAGCAAAAAAGAGAATTTTTGATAGCTGAAATACTGAAACCAAATTCTACTAGCAAGATGATTGGAAAACTCTAACATAAATCTGTATAATTTTATAACTAGGATTTAGCAGACCATTTTGAAACATATACAGCTTCATAACCCAAAGCACCTGATGCATCTGTATATAAATGTAGCTTCTGTAGAGAATACCACTAATCCTGATAGAATATTGCCTTGCCACAAAAATGATCTTTAAAAAGCTACCTTGAGTACTGAGTAAAATTTATCAAATAATATTGATTGTTCAAATGATAGTCTGAAGGTGCATTGGGATGTTTCTAAAACCATCTCCTATGTCTAGCTAAGCCATAAGTGCCTTTCTGCCCTATTTCTTGATTAACTGTAATACATTTTCAATAACGTCACATTGCACAACCACATTTTCCACAAATTGTGTTCATTTACTGATATACATTATATTGCCAAAATATCTAGATATATTTATAATATAAATATCTATATGTATATTTTTTGAAAATGAAATGATTTAAAAATCAGTATATAATAACACTTTTAAAAGTGTTCTCAAGATGACATGGTCAATCTGCACATGCATGCACATGCAAGGACACGAATTGAGTAAATTGACAAATATATTTAACATAGCCAATTTTAAATATTTATGATAAATTGCCTTTAAAAGAAATGCATTAAAAGTGTAAACAATTTGACCTGGTCATTATGTATATGCATGTACTTGCGCGCGTGTGTAAACCCTAAAATAACTAATATACTGGATTGCCTTATTTAATGAAGCCTGCAGGGACTTGGGGGAGAATTTAGGGAACATCTGTAGTGTTCTCCGATACAATTAATACTAGTTGACTGAGGATTTAATTAAATAACATTATTTTCTATCTGAAATAAAATATGTTGCTCTTGGAAATTTAGAAGTAAACATTTGTTGATACTGTTAAATGTATCTGCCACCGACTCACCTGAAAAACAATGCAAGTATTATCGGGTGTTTACCAAAATGCAACTATGTGAATCACTAGAAGAGGTAATCGAAATCTGTGGTGCAGTGGTGCAGCCTTTGATGCGATATTGTTTGTAGAAGCATTGCCGAGAGTCAAGGCCTGGTGCTATTGTCTAGGATTGCTGCTGCTAGCTGATTTTTTGGAGCGGCCACTTGAGCCAATGATAAATTGGCATCAACTGAGTTGCCCAAAGTTGAATCCACAGGGAGCAGTTGAGCCGATTGACTGCGTAACCTCATTTTCCTGGGTGGTTTTGGACCCCTCACATTTTCCTCTTTTTGGTGGCATTTTTCTACAATAAGTCCAAGCAGTTGAAATTGCCATAGGTGATTATATAATAGAATAAATAATGTTTTGCCGTTCAGCAATAATCAAATGGTAGCTAGGAGCAAACATGCTTAATTTTTCATCTTTATCATTTGTAATTGAACTCTTAAAATGCATGTTGCCAACCTATTATCATATTATAAGTGTCAGTTGAAACATGTCAGTTCATCATGGTCATAATAAAATTCAACATTTGTGACATTCAAAGGCAACCATTTTTCATAAATAAATAAACAGATCTTCCCAACCTTCATTGGATATTGGGAAGATTAAGAAAAACAAACTGGAGCCGTCACAAACATAAGACAGTGATAGGCAACCCTCTTTTAATAAATAAATAAACAGATCTTCCCAACCTTCATCGGATATTGGGAAGATTAAGAAAAACAAACTGGAGCCATCACATACAAAAGACATTAATAGGCAACCCTCTTTTAATAAATGAATAAACAGATCTTCCCAACCTTCATCGGATATTGGGAAGATTAAGAAAAACAAACTGGAGCCTTCAATTACATTTGATGGAATCCATTGGTGATTCCCAAATTTGACCAATACTGACACTGACAGTAAATTATGAAATCAGGAAACATAATGTGCATAAACATGTCAAGTTTCACATTGAAATTTTATAAGCACTAGAATAATGTAATATTCATTTGTATGTATTCACATACATATGATGGAATTCATTGGTGATTCCTGAAATTGACCAATACTGACACTGAGAGCAAATTATGAAATCAGGTAACATAATGTGCAGAAACATGTCAAGTTTCACATTGAAATTTTAAAAGCACTAAAATAATGTCATATTCATATGTATGCCTTCACATACATATGATGGAATCCATTGGTGATTCCCAAAATTGACCAATACTGAAACTGACAGCAAATCATGAAATCGGGTAATATAATGTGCAAAAACATGTCGAGGTTTACATTGACATGACATATTGGGGCATTTGCCATAAATTTTATCACATGCATTCAGTGTTTTCCTTTAGAACCGGCAACCGGCCAAATTGACCACTTCAATTGACAAAAATGCCTTTGAAATAACAATTCGTTCTAAGGTCCACAGAGATTTTGTTCATAAACCTCATACCCTAGACTTTACGACTGATCTCTAACCCTTTACTTTGAAATAAAAGGAAAACACTGATGCATAACAATCTATCATCATATGTGCAATGTACTACTTATCCTTATTCTCCCATCCAATCAGATGGGAGGCATGGAGGACAGCACTTTTGATGTTCTGAAGGTACTTCTTCATGAACCAATGGTCGAGGTGAATCCGTGGTGACTGCTGTCTTTTAGGTGAACCCCATCATTGGCCAAGTATTTCATGTCTGGGTTCCAGGAACTGCAGTGGTGCCAAATTAATTATTGATGGTGAACTGGTGACATTGATCATGTAGAAGTTTATTATTGTCAATCACTTTAATTGTAATGGTCGCCTACTTGGATGGATGTCTGCTGACCAGCTTGAATTCTCTTGAGCTGGCTAGCTCGCGCGTATTGAGGCCGCCCCTGCCTCGAATTAACAATTCAAATGTATGTTTATGTAGCTGTGAATTATCCAAATCTGGTTCATTCAGTTATAAACACCAAATCTACTCTTCAAAGAATAATTGACCTATCTGCACTACAGTGCGCGGTTTGATATATCAAGTTGTTACCTCCATGCCGTCTAATCAATTGAGACAAATTCACTGCACAATCAATCAACTGTTCAAAGTGGTAACGCATCTGAGGCGGTGTCAAAGGAATAGAAAAAATAGTTTTACGTGAATTTTGATCTTCGAGCTCTAAATTGACTTCACCTCGTGTTTCTGCAAAATTGAATTAATTGAGCACTCGATCCCGATCAAGCCGAACCCGATCCAAACATGAGTTCGATCCCGATCCAGTCGACCCCAGTATATAAAATTCCGTAACTGCAATTTTAATTTACATAAGTCAAACACAATGTAAAAAAGATTGTATATAAAACATTTTATGAAACATAAAATTTTATTTATATTTTAGACAAAATGGTGGCCCTTGTTGCTATAATGAATATCTTGACGCTGAGAAGAAAACTTGTAGAGGTAAATTAAATTCATGAAATATACAAAGATAATGAACAAAATTCCAGCTCATACGTCCACTCAAACAATGCAAGGTTTGGAGTAGAGCAAACACTATCAGAGGTTGGATCAGATGCCATGGAAAAGTGAGCATATCTAGCCGAGTGGTCACATACGCCGTGTGCTTCATCTCATGATCGGGAAATAACTAAAAATACATCGACAATTCTGTGTATAAATAATGGCCTAACAATTAGTATGAAAACAATTATCAGCATTTGACTTAATGCTAAATCGTATTAGCTGAAGACGTATTGACAATATAATTTAAACTAAAATCTACAGAAAAAAAGAATCTCAATTTTTTTATTATTTCGTCCAGGCCATTTGTTTTCTACGAGGAATTTTAATCAATTTTAGAATGCAGTCCTGGGAGAATAGGCTGGGGATGTAAAGAACCTTGTAAAGAGGGATATTATGGACATTTGTGTAGACTGGCCTGCCATTGTAAATCTCTTTATTGTGACCCAGTTTTTGGATGCTTGGCAACAACCTCTATTGGAGGCATAACACTCTTAGGTATTCTGCTTGTTCTTATTGTGTTTTTTTTTTTTCGAGAGAAATTTATTATTTTGTGTACCTACATAAAATATATAAAGATACATTCCCTAATGTTATCTATGATATCGTGACTAAGCTATTGTTGATATTTTTTAAAATCGCCCATTCCTTGAAATAAGTATGCACTTCTTATTTTTAGCCCCCAAAGAGTACAATTTGGAGAGAACCAAACACTCTGATTCACCCGATTCAGCAACAAAGCATGGAATGCGTTTGTCTACAATATATAAATCATTCCTAGAATCCTCGACTATGGAGAAGTATAATTTATTTTTGTTTAAAATATTTTAAATATTTTTAAGGTTCAACGTTGTTCAAAAAACATAGTATTAACAGTACAAAGTTTTAAACTTATTGCCATATAAGAACATAACATAAATATTTTGGATTCACAGAACTTTGGAGAAAGGGGCAACAGATCATAAGCATGGTAAATATAACCCGAAAATTTGATATCATTTAACACACAATTATTTAGTATATATCTTTAATACATGAGATTTTTCTCCACAAAATTATATTTAAACTTTTATTTTCTTTGAATAACAACAGAAAATACCAATATGTCATCAGTAACAGAAAAGAATAAAACAATCATTGAAAGAAGCAAACTAAGAGAACACACAAGCACAGGTCTGTCTGTCTTTGTCTCCTTCGTATTATTGTCACTCCTCTAAGTTACCTATCCGTGAAATCATATAATTTTATATCGTATTCCTCTGACAGATTCAAAAGTTCTAATTTTATCCATGAAAGTAACGTCCTGGCCACATGTTTCAGAAGAAAATCCCCAGCGTACGTATAAAAGATTTCACTGACAAAAATCTGCAATAGGGAAACAAAATTATTTTTGAAACCTTAACTTTTTTTGCAATTTCATTATTATAACAATATCTAGCATATAAAACTCAAAGGAAAATGTTTTTGTTCTTTTTTCAATTAAACTGTAGATTTTAATGTTTTCATCCCTTTACAATTAAGACAACATATTTAATTTTCAGACATAAAAAGAATAAAACGTCGTTAATGATAACTCATTGATATGTATTTAGGTTATACGGTGAACAGAGAAAACAATGGAAAGGAGTTACAGCAGATATCTAGTCATCTACGGTTGATCACAATCTCCTTGTTTATGATAGTTGGCTGTGTCGTCATTCTAATTCCTCTTCTGTTGTATGTTCAGATATATATTTTTATTTCTTTCTTTTTTATTTTATTTGAATGGAGAAAGAAATTATGCGAAAAAAAAATTATTTTGACAGATCATGTATCTTTTTTTTTGAAAAAAGCAAACAAATAATTTGTTTTAGATGTAATAGCTTACTAGTATTATGCTATTTATATTATCTATTTATATTTCATAATTACAAGAATTGATAAACATTATTAAAGGAAAATGATTGTTAAGTTTTATTGAAAAAATTCTCTAATTTTTTAGGTATTACACAATGAAGCGTACCAGAAGAACGGAATTTCCTATCGGTACGTTTTACGTTAATCATAAACACGTTTGTATGTCAAAGATATACCAAATTTATAAACTCATCAATGACACATAAGATAACTCAAAAGACAATCTATATTGCTAAAAGGACTTTTGAGATCTATACTTATCCCAATAGTTGGAGAATGTTCTTCACAGATCGTAACTCTTTTGTACTAAACGATAAAAAAGTACCTGAAATCTGGGGACTAATTCTAATATCTTAATTGTACTATTTGAAGATTAAATAACATTTCTGTTTACATTCCTGAGCAGGATTAAAGCAGGTGTGCACTAACAACATGAATGCTCTTCATTTTGCCGGAACAATGGACCGAGGATATACTCCTCTGTCTCACAGAGAACGTCGGGTTAGGAGTGGACGACAGTCCGACTACAGTACGCCACAAAGGAACGGCAGACAATCCGACTACAGTACGCCACAAAATCTTGATTTGGAACAATTTACAAACTCTCTCTAATGTGATGCAATGCATACCTGACATGGAAAAACTAGTATATATCATTGGACACACTATGACTTAAAATAAGTTGCTCAAATATTGTTCTCCTTGGTATTGTCTGGAAGTCATTCTCTCTGAACACTTCACCATTTATTACTATTCTTAATCTGAAATTCTATAAAATATAAATTAGGATTATTTGATATTTGCTGTACCTTGAGAGCATGAGAATTCACCAACTACAGGTATATTTTTATATTTCGACTAAGGCTGCATTTAGCAGTGGACATGTTTATGTGTGACATCGCTCAGATTGATGTATTACCAGAAAAAAAACTTAAACAGTTGTTCAGCAACAAAACTGCAAGATAAATGTGAGGACTTCATTTTTCTTTCGTCAAATGTCCTTCCATGTGTAGTTTTATGTCATAATCATCTGTATATTTGATTTTTTGATAGATTTCCCGGTAAACATTTAAACAATTTTGTTTATTACTTATATTTACATTTGAGGAAAATAAATTTCGATTAAAACTGCATTAAATACACGAACAGATATTAAAAAATGATACCACAGAATCTGACACATCTGTACCATACTTGGATATTTTACATGCAAAAGACGCTTATTAATCAAGCTCGATGATAAACGTGATGATTTTAACTTTTCTATCGCCAACTTCCCTTAGAGACGAAAGCGTAGTCATGGGCATCGTTCGTACAATAAACCTGCTATACACCACAGACGGATATATGGTTTTCATATTGCCCCTCAATCTTTTAATACGTGACTTTTACATGTATCTGTTACATTTAATCCATTCTGATAAGGTGTCAACGTCTTTTTTTCCTATCTGGTCCATCGTGTGGCGTAATTGTCCACAGAATCTTATATATATATTCATGAAATTCTGACGCCAGTTGAAGGATCGGGGTGCCCTATATTTAGGACCTTTTAAGATAAGTGATCTAAGGTCTGCATTACGAACTTTATTTACGTCACCTGTAATAACGTGTCCAGCAGGACTATAGTTATAGGGCGAAGAAGAACATGAACACGAAGGAGGATTATGTGTCAGATAGTATGATATCTGGTACGCTTATGATAATAAATATATCTTAATTTCATATAACTTCACTCACTTTTGCACGGAAATCATTTGTATATAAAATACGGTTTGTCTCGTATCTTCCTCTTATATGATAACAAGGACGTAACAAGTATAAGAGGAAGAGGGCAATGTGTTTACATATCGAGCTGAAAACTCAGTTTTTGAAAAGAGAAAATTCATGTTTTCGAGCAAAGCTATTTTTATCTGCGTAATGATACACACTTTGAAAAATCATTTCTTATCAGTTTGAATTATATAAACAGTAACGGACATAAACAATGGTCAAACCCATAAATCTACTGAAATAATTATGACTCCTGGAATACCAGAGGTGATATCAATTTTCAAGTATCAGAAAGGAGTTGGTATCCTAAGAAAACACATGGTTCTTTATTCTAAAACTTGAATTTTACATTGAATTTAATCTAAATACAATTTACATGTATATTGTCTGTTGCAGCGTGCTTTAATTATCTGAAAATAATGATATGAAATTTTCCTTTCCTTTTGATTGAGATATTTTCCGTTAAATTATCAACATAACTTGAGTCTAATTTGAATGAAATACAAGTAAAAGAGTACTGCACTTTCATAAAAAAAAATATTTCGATGCTTTTTAAGAATATATTTCCTATTTCTCAATCAGGTTACAATCATCGTGATTATTTCCTTTTATTTGAGCAGTTTTAAAAAATTGGGTCTGGTTTGAACATTGGATTTAAATAGTATCATAATAATTTTTTTCAAAGAAATGAAACGAATGATGTGTAGAGAAGCTGTTATAAAATTGTGCTTTGTAATATCTCTACTATCGAACAACTGTGGAATATCAGCTGTTTAAAAGTGATAAGAATACACATATTCCTTTCAGTTCTTAATTGTGTTTGAGTTTCTTAGAATTGCATATAGTTTAAAACGGATATATCTTATATCTTTTATTGAAGGATATAAAGATAACGAACAGAATTTAATCTCAAAGTCCATAAAACAATACATAATAGGAGCAGAGCAAACATAGACCTCTGAAACATCAGAGGTGGGATCAGGTGCCATGAAGGAGTAAGCATCCCCTGCTGATTGGTCACATCCTTCTTGTTATGATCAGGAAAAAACCTAAAAGTCCCTTGTAAATCCAGTGTATAAATAATAATCGACTAACAATTAGTATGAAAAACGCCAGGCATCATTTGACTCAATAATAAATCAAATTTGTTGACAAAGTCACTATATCGACCATAGAACTTACAAAATGATGACTTTAAACGAGACTGTTGTTATTCTTGTTTCATCACTTGCCTGTCAATAATATACCTCGTTTTAGGGAAAATATCATATGTTATTGCAATTATAATGATAATATCTCTTGTAGAGTAAATGTCATGTGTGATTACAATTATAATAATATCTCTTGTAGGGACAATATCATATGTGATTACAATTATTATTTTGATAAACAGAGTGACAGCTGTTTAGGTAAGCAGGCAGTCTTCGTTAACAAAAATTCCCTGATACCTTTAATTTAATGCTTTATTACTTTTTGAATAGTTTTTAATTATTATAATAATTTCGAAAATTTAATAATTGAAACAATTTTAAGAAAAACCGCGTATTATGAATCTTCAAACACATTTTAAAACAATTGTTTCATTTCAGATTCATTGTGTTATTCTTTCATTTTATATAGAGTGGTCCATTAGGAAGATTTGGTTTGAACTGCACACAACGATGCACATTAGGTTTCTATGGCCGTCTGTGCACTAGTCCCTGCGGTTGTGAAGCGTCCATATGCCATTATGTAAATGGTTGTCCAAAAGGTGTTACACATACCAGTATTATTTTCTCTTTATCATAAAAACAAATTTGCTTATTCAAATTTGAAGATTTTATCTGTTTAAAGCAATCCAATATACGCCTCATTTTTTTTCATTTGAAAATGACTAATAAACTAAAGATACAAGAATTGCCCACAGCAAAAACAAACCTTCTGCAATAAATACACATTTAACATATTTACAAGACTTTACAGATACAACAGAGGTGACAAAACGGATAACAGGAGTAACCAAAGACACTAGGGCATCTTCATCAAAAACAACGAAGAGAATGGAATCTTCACAAAAAAGTAAGCAAACAAGTGAAGAATATTTGTTCTAAAAAATCGAAAAAATTATCTTTTGTCAAAACACGGTTAACTACAAAAATACATCATGTTATCAAATATATGTAATGTGCTTATGTATTTTATTTGCACATATTTCGGTTGTTTTAAAGTGACAAATGTTTTCTCTTTCATTGAATGATATTTGTTTTGAAAAAGAGTCTGCTTGGAACGTTTTTAACAAACCACAAATCATCTACAATATCTTAAAATCCTTCATTTCATAGACAATTAAGTAAACCAAACCAAGGATGCTATAAACGATGACGCACTGCAGTTTCTGTCATTTTCAAACTGAATAAGTTTTCTAATTGATTTTCATGATTCTGTTCACTTATTGACAATATTTTAAATGATATATGGTGAAAAAGGTTTTCTTTTATTTCAGAAATTTCTTTACAGACAACACTATATGCGTTCTTCACAGAACAATACGTCCAAAGAACAACAAAATCTAAAAGTACAAAATGGCCAATATATGTTGAATTCAAAGAATCCAGCAAAATGACATTCCATTTGGGATTATCTACATCAGAGAAAACTGACCACGTGACTATAAAATCTACATCAGAGAAAATGAACCGCGTGAGTGGAGGGAGGATTTTCCACGTGACTGGGAAATCATCTTCGGAGAAAACTTACCAATGGACCAGGAGATCTACATCAACAACAGAATCATCAACAATTACAAACGAGAATGATCATTCAATGTTGGCTTTTTTTACTTTTAATTGTTTTTATAGCAATATTTTTTATCGGGGGAGTTTTGTTTTACTTGCGACCATCACTTAGGTGAGCACTTTTATCCGTTTCTATTTCAAATCAACTTTGTAGTGTATTTTATAATTAAGATTCTTATCAACAGCTCTTAAACAACCTCTCTTTTCTCCTAGATACAGGTGTAAACTATATAAGCCTTGTCATTGGACAGATGAATATTTTGGTAAATCAACATTTCATTCTCATTTGACTATAAATATTGGTAAGCAAAACGCTGAAACAGTTTATTATTTTGGTCATTGTAAAAAAAAAGAAAAAACATAAATAAGAAAAATTAAACATGCATATCAATTATTTTTAAAAAAAATACGGGGGTTGGGGGAAATGCTGCAAGAGAAAAAGTACTCGTTTTCAAAATTTTTACTGATGCAATTTTTCAATTTATTTAGAAAAAGATCATACAATTGATACCATCAAACAGAACAACGAAAGTACAAAGGACAAACACACTTCAGCGAATCATTCAGAAAAATTGGAAGGCAATGATGAAATTCGTCATGATCAACATAGCGGCAGTAGTACTGGATCTAGCCCAGCTTTGTTAATAAGAAAAATAAAAGGTGCGTCGGATGATAGGTATCTGCCATCACATAGCCTGTATGAAAAAATATCTTTCCATGGTGACACTCACATTTCACAATTCACGAAGGAGCAAAGCATTGCGGATCCTGATATGTTTTGGCTACAACAAGAATTGTGTAATAATGAGAAGTGTGATTTTCTGAAATCCAGCAGTTCTTTAGATTTTTCAGAAATAGACGAAGTTCCAAAATTTCAAAACCATTTTCCTCTTTTGCATATACAAAATAGTAACGGGGAAAGAACCATGGATTCTTCAAACAATAAAAAAGCAACGATACTTTATTGATTAAAGAGGATTTTCTCTGTTGCGAAACCCTTGAAAAGACAGATAGACCTTACAGTGTTGTAAAGACTAGAATGTCAAAACAGGAAGATATGCTTGGAAATCATCATTTCCCAGACGAATTCAAACAAAAATGTCGAACAGAAACAACAAAGCTCTGACTTAGAGAAGATGGTGAACTGTAGAGAATAAGGTTAATGATACGCTTTTGCACACTGTGGATGCATATTTTTAGGGGGGTTAGTTATATGTCCTTAAATAGACCATATTTGTATCATGAATAATGCTAGTGTTTTAATATTACAAATAATATTTTAGTTTTAATTTCAAGACATATTCTGAATTATAAAGAAAAATGATACTTTTCAAGTGATACTATAATGTTGTAATTCTGATGGGAAAGTTGAGCGTTTGTTCGAACGACCCTTTATGTATGACAGCAAATAACAATTATTCTTTTCATAAAGTATTCAGATTTTTTTCTGAAATATTCTGAAGTAACAGGAACTCGAATTTCTTTTTTCTTCATTCATTCTAATGATCATGAAAAACTGTCACTTACATAATATGAAGGAAAAATCTAGAGACAGTAACATCTGTTATACTGTAGGTCATCATATTCTGGAGAAATCTTGATAATTCATTTAAATAAATAACATATGGATCACTCTAGACGAAACATGATGAAAATCAAATAATTTAATTTCACTTAAATCAAGCAATTTCATTGGCTGAATCATTCAGAGGAACATATAATATTTTGGATAACATAACTTGCCTACGTCACAATGAATTACGTCAAAAATGCATTACTCCGCTTGACGTTACTTTTAAAATAATGCTCAATTTGAAGTCTTTTACCGGAGGAAATATTGTCTCATTGTCTACACTGGAATTAAATTATAAGGAATGAAGCTAATTTCAACTTATGTTATCCGATATAACAAAACTTGGGTCATTTTACGCTTTTTTATAAACCGCTTCGCGGTTTATAAAGCGTAAACTGCCCCAAGATATCTTATATCGGATAACATAAGTTGAAATAAGCTTCATTCTTTAATTATTCAGGAAACCTCTCACTATATAATTTTAAACGAAACATGCAATAACTTATAAAATGTTTTCAGTCAAAGGTTCTTTTTAGCTATTTTTACTTTAAACTTTTAAACGTTTGACTTTTTCCGGAAAGAATTTTAAAAAAAATGTCTATTTAAAGCGCAAACTTTTTCCTTGTAGAGATATTCCCTGGTAAACCCTAAAAATACGGCAGTTATACTGCATAGTCAATTAAACTAAATTTTAAAATCATTTTATGATTTTCTTTTCTAAAATGACATTTTTCTTTTAATCTTTGAGGGGAAAAACTAAAATGAAATCGAAATGTGAGATAATTTTAGCATTGTTGAATATTTTTATTGATATTGCTACCTGCAGTAGTGAGTGCCAAAGGTGAGTGAATTTTTATTTTAGAGCTGTGCGACTTTTTAAATTAATATATAATTTATATATTCGAATCTCATTTGACGATAGATAAACGAAGCATAAGTATGTTGTAAACCAGGTAAATTATCGACAAGCAAGTTGAAGGAACAAGACCCTGACCTTCAGAACTGACCTAATTTACAAAAAAAAAAAAGACAGGAAATGTCTTCAATAATGACATCTCACTCAGAAAGACACCGAAATCTGCGAACGACAATTTTTTATACTTGATTATGATATCTATGTATCAGTTGAAGCTTAATGGTGCACAGACACTGATTTGAAGTTTATATTTTCTTGAATTGTCTGTATGACATTACCGCCTTTACATTGCAGTATCATTTCACAAGAAAATATATTAAAGATCTTATACTATTAATTATTGAAACTTCGAATTTCTACCCGAGTTTGATTGACTCGTCCATATAAAGTGTATTAATGCAAAAATTAAAAAAAATAATCCAGAAGGTTGGGAGTAAAAATGTTCGAAAGAAAAACGTGCTCACAGTATAGTGTCAGTCAATGCTCAGTGGTGTGTGTAGACTTGTATTGAACACATCCCGTGAATCGTTAAAATGAACAATAACAGAGTTAGTGTCCTGTTTACAAAACAAGTTTACGTTTCATGGTTGTGTTCAATTTGTTAGACTTTGTACAGAACCCTTGGCAAACACTGCCGACACTAGTAAGATGGTTTTACTTTTAAACATTTCGTTTACCGATTTATTCAATTTGTTAAACAATGTTATAAGATTTAATTATATTTTCGTGCGAAATGCTATGGCAATATATTAGTCGTGATATGATCTTGAAAATTGTTGAAAAAATAATTTTAGAATCTGTGTCTTAGCAAATTTAAATTCAATGAGGAAGGATATGGAGATACCGAATAGTATTCAATCTCAAAGTCCATAAAACAATACAAAAATAGTACTTATTGTAACGTGGACCGTTACAGCTGTTCTCCACACGCTCCCCAATTACCTTTTTGTGTCAATTTCCTTTAAAAAAAAGTTTAATATGCTCAGTATCGCAGAATTTCATAAAAGAATTTTAAAAGTTATAATAATATCGACTTTTTGTCTTTTAAGGCATTAGACATCCCTATTCATATTCTTAATGGCATCCTGTTTTGTTGAAAAACAAGAAAGTTATAGGCCTAGGCATTGAACATTTCAGCCAATCAGATTGCAGCACACGTGAATTTACCTGCTTTCATGATAATTCTTATATATCAAGCTGTAGATCTTCATAATGTATGTCTATGTTTAAAAATTCAAAGGATTATAACATAAAACAAGAAAGATATTGAGACTTTAGTTTCAGCCAATCAGAGCGAAGCGCACGTGCATGCAAGTGCGATCTTGCTATTTTGACCATGTTGTCTTGTTGATACTAGTAATACATCCATGCATTGTGAGTTTCAAAAAATTCCATCTAGAAATAGAAAAGTTAAGGCTTAATCCATTATATTGGTAATTTCACATGTTGCACGTGCTCGCTTTTGCCAGCACACGTGCATGTACGTGCTTTCATTAAAATTCTTATATATCATGCTGTAGATCTTCATAATGAAAAGAAAAATGCAAACATACAAAATATATGAATTGGCCTTTAATTAAATAAAATATATGGAGATAACGAACAGCATTCAAGCTCATAACTCCATGACATAATAAAACTAGAAGCAGAGCAAACACGGACCTCCAAAACATCAGAGGTGGGATCACGTGTCATGAGGGATGAGCATATCCTGCCAAACGGGTTCGTTGTCAAGATCGGGAAAAAACGGAATTATCCGACGTTAAATCCATGCGTAAATAAAAGACTTAAAATTTCTATGACAAATGTCAGTCATCTATTTACTTTTAACTCAGAATTTAATTGTATTTGCTGACTAGGGAATTGTAATCGATCAAAGAATTGTTTGTTTATTAGTCTATCTTCTTTAATAAATATTTATCTGTTCTTTATTTGCAGACCACATAATGATACATGTTGTTACAACGAATACTTTGACTCCAAAAACAATACCTGCAGAGGTTCAGTTAAATAATTTCTCTTTAAATTCAAAACGTATTAATTGTAATGCATTGTTGTTGTGAAGAGAAAATCTAAATTGATTTTTTAGATTGCATTATTATTTTTCTCATTTTGATTAGAATGCAAGCCTGGAAGAATAGGATGGAATTGTAATTATTCTTGTGCAGAGGGATATTACGGAAGGTTGTGTAAACATTCCTGCACGTGTAACTTTAATGATTGTGATCCGGAAGTTGGGTGCCAGTTACAAGCTACGAACAGTTACAATTCAACAGATTCAAGTATATTTTTAGAAAATTCTTTTAAACTTGACAAATAATTAAAACATTCGAAAGACAAAGATTGCATAATTGTGCATAAGGATATAAAGGCTCCAACTCTTTGATCAAATATTATTGGAGCTTGAACCATTAAAACTAATGTTTGGTTAGATAATAAGGCCAAAATCTTTTTTACAGCACAAAGAGGTTTTAAAAGTATTTGATTATCATAAAACACGTACCGAAATCGCATCTAAAACAAACTAAGAAATTAAAAACACATATTCTCTCCGTTTACCAATTAGTACAATCTTTTCCCAAAATGAATTTAAATGCTCTTAATTCAGTTTTATCTATTTATCATTTTAATTCTATTTTTTTTTTTTTTTTTTTTTTTTTTTTTTTTTGCTTTTTGTTTTCTCTTTAATTCTTTACTTTTATCAATTTTACCTCTAAAACCAAATGTCTACAAATACAAACAAACCTCAAAAGCTCCTGACTCAAATCTATCAAATATGAGATGACTATCTTCGTACAGTAATTTTTGAATCTACAGAAATGATCCTGTATTATGTTCGAAAACTACACACTTTAGATAGTCAACTGACCTGTTGCACACAGGTAGAAAACACTGTGGTTTTCTGAATCAATATCACAACTCTCTGAAACTGATGAAATATTACGCAGAAACATGACGTTATTTTTTTTGCGCGTTAAAAAAAGGCTCTCTTTAATATTCTTTGTTTTATGGATGAAATTTACCCTTTGATTATAAAAATCAAACTGGGCCTGTACAAAATGGCAACAGTCAGGGCCAAAATGTACCTAAATCTTGATTAAATAGCAAGAAAGACAAAGAATTGTAATTAAACAGAAAGAGATGCAAATTAAGTTGTTTCCTATGAAGATGTACTAATTATGTTGTAGAACTCTCTTCTCGACATTCGTTTCACTCGGCTCCAAATCTCATGTTTCTAGTAAAAATGTTTATAAATCCACATATAAGATTCTTTTTCTCAAAATAAATAATTTTTAATTAATTTATAAAATAAAATAAAAAAAATGTACTAAACTAAGCCAAAAATGGTATTTTCATAGTTTAAAAACATATGAAAAATACTTATGTTAATTCTATGCTCATTAATTGGACGTTAATAAAGTTTTAAAAAATAAAATAATCAATAGACAATTGTGTCAATGGGCAGCTGGTTATATACCGGTAAGAGTAGAGATTAATTTCCCTCACTGATAGGAATGGTCCTTGCCACAGTATTTATAGGAGTAAAACCGTTTAATCAAGGTTTACTGGGGGAACATACTTACTGGCTTATGAATTTGATGAGTTAAATTCATGAATGAAAACTTAATCAAGAATGGGCTACCACCAAATTTGACTTGAAGAATACTATGGCTCGGGTACCTGTTAAGATAAACATAGAGAGAAAAAAAGATTTTTAATAATAAAACTCTGCCACAAAAAGAAACATCTTAAATTGGTATTATTTTTTTATTTTTAGGTCAGAACATAAATAATGAGTATAACAGAAAGATATTGCACTCTATTTCGAAGCAACTAAAGTTGATGAGCAACACCTTATTTCTAATTGTGGGTTGTGTAATCATTCTTATTCTGGGGCAGTGGTATGTTACAAGTATTTTTAATTTTTAATTATATTATTTACACAATTGTACACTTCATGATCTTGCATCTTTAGAATTCCATATCAACATGATCAATATAAATTCAATAATTCTAAATCGTTGTTGTTCGAATATCGAGTATTACCTATTGCTTATTCATTTCTGAAAATATATTTAGATTTTTAAGGTCATAATAAAGCTTATATTGTACGTACTTTCTTAATAAAGTGTTTCATGAGAATGTTTTGTGAATAAACGAATCAATGTATCTTATATTGTCAATTTAGGTATATAATCTGGAAGTGCAAGATAAAACCAGGTGTCCGCAATGGTATGCTTATACAATGTTTTCTAAAAAAGTAAATCTTATAAAAATTAAAAATCTTTTATGAATATTTCACATGCTTTAAAAACCCTTTCGACATTTTTTTTTTACCTTTTATAAGAATCTAAATTCTCTGAGAAGCATTCATTCATTTTTATTTGAAAATTTACTGCAAACAAATTCAATTATAATAACGTATTTGAAAGCGCGAATTTTTTTAGATTCTGTATGAAAAATAACAGAATGAATAAAGATAATGAAGTTTAAGCAAGCTCCAAAATGCATAGAAAAACTAAAATGGGAGCAAAGCGATATAGACATTAGATATGAGATCAGGTGCCACGGATAAGTTAGCATCTTATTTCAAACTGTTGGTGTTACCAAACCCCATCGTGTTGTTGTTCTGGGAAATGGAAAAAAATGTATTTCAACTTGCAAAGATCATGCATAAAGAGAAAGATTATCTGTTTCCTCGCTCTCTCTCTCTATATATATATTCATTTAATATTTCTACATACCGTATAAGCAGAAATTTTAGCAAGGATGTAATTTTGGCATTATTAGCGAAGGTGCTAAGATCGTTAAAATTGAATATTGCTAAATTTTTTTTGCATTTTATTTGTATAAGCATCTTTAGTGGGCATTTTAAAATCGCTAACATAACATCTCGCTAAAAATTGAATACCACTTTTTTAGGGCAAATCGCTAAATTTGCGTCTCGCTAAAATTTCCACTTATACGGTATTAGCAAGATATCCATTATATACGTATAACCTGTAGCTTTGATTGTGTTTAACTGTTTTATTTTCGATCAGAAATCGACATTAATTAGCGTTTTACCTATGTTTTGTTTAGGAATGAAACAGATTGATACACACACGATAAATAACCCGCAATCTATAGCTGTGGCTATGGAGCGAGGATATACGGCTTTGTCAAATGGGAATATTAGAAACTTCGCATAAGAAGTATAGGAATTCAAAATTAATGCTAATTACAGTACAATTCAAATCAAATGCTAAGAAATTTTAATATTTGGTAGACATTCCAATTACAGTACGTCACAAAGACATGAAATACAAACTTATTATAGTACGCCAATAAGAAATGACAGGCATTCCGGTTATATTGTGCCACTAACATATATATATATATATATATATATATATATATATATATATATATATATATATATATATATATATATATATATATATATATATATATATATATATATATATATATATATATATATATATATATATATATATATATATATATCATATATATCTAACAAAGTTTGCTACACAACTTTTATGATGTACTAACATATATTGAACTCATATAATGAAGAATAAAATATCTGTAAAACAAATCCTCCTTCGTGTTCATGTTCTTCTTCACAATACAGTTATTGTACTGCTAAACACGTTTTTACAAATGACGTAAACATAATTAAATTGAAGACCATTGATTACTTATAATCAAAGGTCCTAAGTATATGGAACCCTGATCCTTCAACTGGCGTCAGAATTTCATGAAGAGTATGGATTCTGCAGAAACTTACGCCAGGCGTTTGGCCACATTGACACTTTATAAGAATGGATTAAGTGTATCAGATATATGTTTTAACCGCTTGTTGAAAGATTGAGGGGCAAAACTTTAGACTAATACGTAAGTTAACAAGTCCCATTTTTATAGAAAGCAGCTGTCAATGCCATCAAAAACCCGTGAATTAAATAACTCCTTGCATGGGAATAGTTGTGTAAAAAAGTTAAAAACTCGAAAGTTATTAAGGTGATGATTTTTGTAAAATTTTGTGATTTCAAATTGTCTCAAAAGTTCCAAAATGAACTTTCGTAGAAAGGGAACCATGAGTTTAAGTTGGAATACCACTTGTAGAGAAAAATTCTTCCGAAATACAACTTACTAGTATATTATGAGCCTTACGAACGAAAACAATGTTGTTACCAGATTTGTCAGCAGGAACTGGTGCGTACTGATCATGTTATCTATCTAATCCTTTTTCCACTTCTGGATTATTGAATACAGAGGGATACATGTAGATGATTCTTAAAAGCTAGCAAATATCGCACACTCTGTGTTGTTTTTGTCTCAAGTTCAAATCGACGTATAAATGAAAGAAACATCAATTTATAACTGATTATAAATTTTTCTATAAGAATTGTCAGAGTTAAGGTATCCTACTTCGCGAGATGAAATTGAAACATGCATTTTCTCTCAAAAGCAAAATTTGTAAAATTATTTAAGTTTAACTTAGATGAAGAGGATCAATAATTCTTTTTGTTTAGAAATGTAATACTTAAACTTTGATGGAGATAAAAATTGAGGAAGTTTTCCGTGCCCAAAAGTGAGAAATTTTCTAACAATAATGAATATCAATCTCAATTTTAAACTTCCGCATACATGTTTTAAATCTCATTACCTCATTTGCAGCTGATTTTTTTTAAGTGCAGAACCTCAGTATTGAGTATTGACCATGTTAAAACTATGTTGAAACTTCCCTTTTTGACTATCTGTGAATATCAAACTTCTTTATGCATTTTCTATATTTTTCGCTATGAAAAGCAATATATTTCATCCTGTTCAGTATCTCCATTTGTTTCATCCTTTTCCAGCTCCGAATGTCTTTTACGATAAATATGAACCAAATCTTATTTTTACGTCCGACTGTAAATTCAGTAACTGAAGGAGTTTTATTTTGTTCAGATGTTTTTGAACTCTTTACACTAAAATATTTAAATATCACGTTTGTTTCAAAAATAAATACATGAAGACAATGAACATCAAATTCAGTTCTTTATAACAAAAAAATTAGAGAACAGAGCAAAAACGAACCTTTACATTCACAAAAGGTGTATGGGATGGGATGCTTTGGAGGAGAAAGTTTTAGTTGGCTAACGGTTATACCGTCATTCAATGCGCTTTTTTCATGATCAAACAAGCCGTAAAAGGACTGAATTTTTAGCATAACTGTAAGGTCTTTCTAAATATTCTAGTTCCTTCTTCTCCAAGTCTTCTTTCGCTTCCGGGTTTACTCTACTTAAAAGACCAGTATTTACATTCATCTTTTCTTTTGGGCTAATATCATCACAAGTAAACGAACGAACTACACTATACGGTCTAGTATCAAATTCCTCATTTACTGAGATAACCCTTGACTTTGCAGAACTGTCAGAAATAAATTTGAAACCAATCTTATCCTTGTCTTTCGTGTTTTCCAGGTCCTTTAATTCGTTCTTTGATACAACATTGTGTAAACTGTAGAAGTGTCGCTTGAAGCCCTTATTATTTTCTCTCATACACTTCCAATTGGTTGGTAAAGTCATCGATTTGCAACTTCCATAAACTTCTGGAAATTCTTTTTTCGTTTTTGATTGACCTTGATCACAAAGCGTTACATATTGCGGGAAATAGTTGCATGCAACTGCCTGTTCTTCATTTAAAATTTCGGAGAAGTTTGATTTTTATTTTAGATTTACATGACAATATTCGGTTTCTAGTGAACATTTATCGTATAAATTCGTGTTTAGTCGACAGTTTTTCTGCTTTTCGGAGATAAATTGGCCTGTTTCGATCTTACTGACTGTATTCGAACACTTCTCTGGACATGTATCGCTTACGTGAGAGAGCTTTACTTCAGTGTATGTGCTGTCTCCCCGACTTTGGTGCGTTGAGCTACGTAGTTGCTGTTCTTCGTGAAGTATGTTTCTGCCTGGTAAAAATGAATTGAAATGCTCCGAAATTTAAAATTAATTTTATGAATTGAAGTTTTCTGATTCAGGGTGAAGAAATTATCTGTTATCCTATAAGATTTTTATTTCTAATGTACAGTATACATTGATAACTAAACTATGTGTTCAAACCAGTTTTTTTTCTTTTTACTGAACTTTTGTTGACATGAAACACGTATATTTTTTTAAAAGTTACATTCATATTCCCTTTTTTAACTGAACTGTTTCAAAAGAGCCAAACATGTCTGTGTATTTAACCGTTAATCATTCCCAAATCCTTTTGACTTGATTTCCTTATTGACAAAAGAAAACCATATTTTACAGCGTTGATTTCATAATAGAAACGATTTAAGTGAAAAAAATTTGAACATGAGGTCCTGATTTCTGTTTCTTTCCATTAGCGTCTGACTAAAACAATTGATAAGTAATAATTAAAAAAATGTAAAATATTTATGTGTATGTTTTACCTTTTTAAGAACTTTTGTTGATATCTATATGCATTCATATTCAATATTTTAATCTCGAGAAACATGTCTGTGTCGGTAAAAATCTATACAGAGCGTATTTTAGTTGTTTAAAAATCCGACCTTAAAAAAATTTAAGATTGATTCTGTTTCTGATGTGATCTGTCTTAATTAATAAATTATCCAGTGTATGACTCAATTTTACTGCTAAATGTACGTTATTACGTGACATTGTGATTCAGAAATATATGAAGGATATGGAAATAACGAACAGTATTCAATCTCAACGTCCATTAAACAATATACAAAATAAGAGCAGAGCAAACACGGACCTCCGAAACATCAGAGGTGGGATCAGGTGTCATGGAGGAGTGAGCATCCCCTGCCGACCGGTCACACCCGCCGTGTGCTCGTTTTCATAATCAGGAAATAACGGAAAAAATTCCGTCGTCAATTCAGTGTATAAATAATGGACTAACAATTTGTATGAAAAACGTCAGTCAGCATTTGACTCAGCGATAAATTGTATTTGCTGAGAAGGTCATTGTCATAGAATTTACGAAATGATGACTTTAAACGAGACTGTTGATATTCTTGTTTCATCAACTTGCTTGTCAATAATTTACCTCGTTTAAGAAATTGTTCATACGTAGAGCATGCTCTTGCATATCGAATCAACTGAGATATATATACTCCGTATGCAAGGTGATGAAGGTATATTGCTGCATAAGTGATGACGTAGAAAAGTACACAGAAATATATGAAGTCATTTTTCTGACACATCAAAATATTTCTTTTGCAAAATACTCTATATAGTGAATCAAAATTTAAAACATCGATCAATGTTTTTAAAATTGTGTTTACATATAGCTAGTTGTAATGGTGGAATGTAATTAATGTACCATCATATTACAATAACACGAAACAAAGAATCGTCTCTTTTGATCTGATGATCCCCGCCTGTCATTTCGATGTGTTGTGTCTCTTTAGGTCAAGTTACTGTGATAATAATATATATTTACCGCGACCTGAAGTACACAAGATATCCAATCAACGAGAGTGTCGCTAAAAATCCAATCAGTGAACAGCTCACAACTATCCGTGTATCATCACGCAGCTTGTCTTTAGATTTAGATCCAAACGCTGCTAAAATTTCAAAATATGATTAAAAGGTTTGAATGATCTTTTATAAGGTCAAAGAGTTGATATTTGAATAAAAGTTTACCTGTAGCACAACCCATAACATTGTTGCAATCAGAGACAGGGCACTCACATGGAGACAAACATAATCGTCCGTAATATCCAGACGGACATTTTATCTTACAGTTCACTCCAAATGATCCAAATGGACATTCTAAAACACGATTCAGAGCAGACGAAAATTCATGGAAAGTCATTAACAACAACCTATATTACACTCAATGCATAATTTAAAAAAAAATTCTTTACATTTCTTTAGTTTTCAGGTTTTCAAAGCTGAAAAGAAAATCTTTTTGAAATAACAAGGGGCCTTTGTTTTATGCCATGTGTACAAAACTTGGTCTTGTCAGTTTTATTTTGTTAATTTTAACACTTGCATCATCTGGTTAAACGTCAATCAGCTGTTAGGTAAAATAACATAATCAAGTTTATTATGTTAAACATAAAATTAAATGATTTTTGATTCTATTTGACACAGTTACATTGCTGAGAGAGCGTACTTAGAAGACATTGCTGGGGAACTAGACTTTATTACAAAAAAACTTACATTGAAAAAGGAATAAATATGTTCACTTCAAAACTTCGAAATCTCGATGATAATGGCGTGTAAATTATCAATATCAATTTTTGTTCTAAATCTTAATCGATCTGTCCAATATGTTTTAAAAAGTAATGTCTATTTTTTCCTTTAGGTTCTCTACTAGAAAATGACTTTCACTGATTGATTGATTGTATACTTCTTAACGCCCCTCTCCAGAATATTTCACTGATATGGAGACGTCACCATTGCCGGTGAAGGGCTGCAAATTTAGGCCTTTGCTCGGCACTTACGGCCTTTGAGCAGGGAGAGATCTTAATCGTGCCACACCTGCTGTGACACGGGGTCTCGATTTATAAGTCTCATCCAAAGGACCGCCTCATTTTGTCGCCTTTTACGACAAGCAAGGGGGTACGGAGGATCTATTCTAACCCGGATCCCCACGGGGGAAAATGACTTTCAATTCGACGATAAGGTATATCGACGACGTATTGTCAATTAACAATGGTTTTGAGGGTTGATCCATCTTCGATCAAATTGCTACCAGTTGACGTAAAACAACGAAATCATTCATGATGAAAGTTGTATTAAATACTATACATTTCAATTCAGTTTAATTTTTACATGTACTATTAAAAATATATTATTAAAGATATAGTGCACTTTTGGTAGATGCTGCATTTAATTAAGGTCATATAATGGATTAGCGCTAAAAAACATTCAAACGTTTTCTAATAACATTTGAGAATTACAAACATGTTCATACATTTAATTTCAGTTTTTTTCCCAAAATTCTTGGTATCAATCGTACATTCACTCTTTTCATAATTAAGTCTTCTGTCAAAATTGTTTGAGCAGTACAATGAAACATATGGAGATAACGAACAGTATTTCAGATCAAAAGTTTATAAAACGATACAAAATAGAAGAAGAGGAAATACAGTCTTCGAAAACTTCCGATCGGTCACAGCCGCCGTATTCTTCATGTGATGTTAAAATTGGGAAATAACGGGAAAACCAGTTGTCAATTCAGTGTATAAATAATGGACTTACAAGGAGTATGAAAACGTCAGTCAGCATTTTACTCAATGATAAATTGTATTTGCTGAGGTCATTGTATCGACCATAGAACTTACGAAATGATAAAGTGTTCATTCTCTAACAAATATACACTGCTTGTCATTAAATGACCCATCACTCTCCTCAAATTTACTGAAACCATCTGCAAACAAGACTCTATATACATTCTTTTCACTTTGAATCTGGTAAATCAATGTATTGGTGATTTCCCTATTTCAAAGTAATATTGCAAAATGCAATTGAAACAGTTCTTTACCCCCTCCCTTGTATTTCACTTCATTTTGCAACACATAAGAGAAAATTAAATATTTTTTCATCAATAATAACAATAGCGGTATTCAATTTTCAACTGTTCATCAGAACATGACGTACGTGTGAATTTTGTATATTTTTTAAAAAACAAATTATGGCGATTTGGCTCGTTTATCATGGTTTTTCAAAATGTGTTTTGTCTTAAATCCTATAAAATATTCTTAAGAACTCAATGTTTAGTAGTGACGTAGCAACATTCACTAAGCTTTTTGGTTGAAACATCAATAAAATATTTTTTTTAATTCATAGAATTTATTTTTGCTATCACATTTACAGACTATGTACAATAGATTTGTTTACATTCAATATATACTTTCAATTTTTCTTCCATGTCATTTATATTATATATTTAATACAAATTCTCTTTGGTTAATGTTTAATACACGTTCATTTCATAAAGCTGCAAAAAATATATGACATTCATGTATATTATGAATCTTCATTGTGAAAGCTTTATATACAAAGAAGTCAACAAAGGGGAGGGGTGGAGGAAGGAAAAAAAAAGAAAAAAATGAAGTGGGGGAAGTTGGGGGACATTTTTCAATATTTTAACATACTTGTACGTTTGAGCATAAATTGGAAGAAATAAATACATTATAGCATATCACAAATAATTTTCCGGTTCTTATCAGATTCTGAAAATTTACAATTTTTTAAAAGAATAGCTTTTTCAACTAGTATTCTATCTACAATATTTTTTTCTAGCATTGCAATACTTAATTTAGGCATATTTCTAAACATACTGACAAATATAAATTGTTTAACAGTAAGTATTATTATATTGTGTAATCTATACATGTTTTTATTGTTGAATTTCCCAAACAGTATATCTTTTTCATCAACATTAATAATAAAATGGAATTTTTTTTATAAGCCACTCCTCAATATGACACCATATTGTTTTTTATACACAGAAACATTAAAAAATAAATGTTAATTGTTTCAACTTCTTGTTTACAAAATGAGCAAACAGGTGAATCAATTAGTTTAAGTTTATAAAGGTATTTTTTGTTGCAATAATCCTGTGCAGGATTTGAAATTGCATTCACTGAAATGTTGCCCCTTTTGTAACTTTAAATGGTAGTTCAAATATTTTGTTCCATTCTAACTCGCCAAAAGATATTCCATTATTTTCCCATTATTCTAATGCTTTAATTGTTTGCTTTTTCTTCTTGATGAGTATATTGTACATATCTTTACAATCATTTGTGCTTTTATAAAAAAAAAAAGGTAAATTGAATTTGGGATAAAAGGTCCACTTTCTTCTCTTTTTTCAATATCAATACTTTTCAATATCTTTGTAACAGCTGTTTTTAAATCTGTATACTCTTCAAAATTAGTAGTACATTCAGATTATTGAGCTACTCGAGGCTTACAAATTTTCATTCAATGACAAATAGATCTCTTCTGAAAACAAAGCCTGTATCAAAATAACTTTTCAAAAAAAAAAAATACAGACGAATTGTTCATTTTAATTGGTTAAACCATATATGTTCACGAAGAATTTGAGTAGTACATGTATTTTGACTACCACTGCAGTCAATTATTTTTACCCAATTAAGTAAAACCTCTTTCCAAAATTTGTTGCTTATTTTATTACACATCTTAACTGTAAAATATAAACCTCTTACCCAAAGAGATTCAATTTTCATTCCTAATTCTGATTCCAAATGTTTTAACCATTTTGTGTCTAAATAGAATAGTCTTCGGATCCATGTTGATTTTAATGCACACAAAAAATCCATAAAATCAATAATTTTCAACCCCCAATTTCTATAGTCTTGGATTATAACACTCTTCTTAACCTTACGAGCTTTAATTCCCCGTAAAAAATAATGTAGGTCTTTCTCAAATTCATCGAGCAATTCCTAATTGGGGTTTGGAATAGTCAATATCAAATGGTTCATCTTTGGTATAATCAGGGATTTAATCACTGTTAATCTACCAATCGGAGTCAATTTTCTTAATTGCCATTGTTTTATCAATCGCTTTATTTCGCTTTAATTTTGGGGGGTAATTCAGTGCAAACATTTCATCTAAATTAATTTTTACACCAAGAAGATCAAAAGTAGAATTATTCTCTAACTTCCATCTTTAAAAGACTTCTTTGGAGAATTTTTTACTACCAATCCACACCATTTTAGTTTTTGTAAAATTAATTTTCAGTCCAGATACAATTGCAAAATAATCAAGCTCTCTTAATATACCATCCATAGACTGTGATGATCCGTCAGATAAAATTGAAGTATTATCAACTTAATTTCACACTTTTTAACCAAAACTCAAACGTTCATTAGATTTAAACATGTGTATATTTCGAAATATTGTATTTTACTAAATAACGCCAAACATTAAAGATACAGACATCGTGACAATATTTTTGGATCAACCCTCGTATTTCCATTTTTATGTGGATACGATATATCTTATTGAATTTTAAATGAAAGATAATACATATAGACAATTTTGAAATTCGTTTTGTTTTCCTAAACATTTTCTTTTGCCCGCAATAATTTTAAGTTTTTGATATGACGCGCTGAAAGCTAATCATGGAGACTTATTTTCACGAATTACATTTCACGTTAATATTTCACAAGCTAATGAAATATGACTTAGTGTCCTTTGTGCAAAAAATTATTCATAAATTTCATATTTTCGTAAAATTTAAACAGAATATTTAATATAGAATGAAGACATTTTTTCCATTTTGAACAATGATTCTGTATTAATTTTTATCAAGAGCTTATTATTTTTTTTTTCAGAAGGAAATTAAAAAACTATAAAAAATGGGTAATCTTCCTTGTAGAAAAATTCCCTGATAGACTTTAATTCAACACGTTCAACACTTACATTGCAAACTTATAGGCACATACTATTATTAAAGCAAGTGTGCTTTAAATGCTTTGCTCATCAAGGTTAATAATTTCCTATTTATTCGGATTTTTATCACGTTTTAAATGTTCTATGAAATATATTTCTTTAAATTTGAGACAAAAAATATGAAAATGAAGCCAAAATGTGTGATCATGTTAACATTCTTCACGATATTATATGGCTCTGCTTCCTTCAGTCATGCCTGTCACAGGTGAGTGATTTTTCACGCTAGAGTTGTATGGTATTTCTTATAAATCAATTACTTAATTATACTACTCGTTTGTGAGTATATGAATTAACAAAGGATGAATTTCTTAAAAGTCTTATTAACGAATATGGTCAAATCAAAATTTTATAAAAGAAATGCAAAAATTTAATGAATTGATTGATTGATTGTATGTTGTCTAACGTCCCTCTCGAGAATTTTTCACTCATATTGAGACGCCACCACGTGCCGGTGGAGGGCTACAAATTTTTGTCTTATGCTCGCCACTCAGGGCCTTTGAGCAGCGAGAGATCTTTTTCATGCCAGCACCTACTGCGCCAAGGGGCCTCTGTTTATATGGTTTCATCTGAAGGACCGGTCTCCGTGTCCCACAGTGGGATTCGAACCTGTGACGTAAGGATTGACTCCTTACTTCGCGACTCTAGAGCAGACGCTCTAACCACTGCGCCACGCGGGCGACAAAAAATTTAATAAAAGGTCAAGTGCAAAAAGGAAGTAAAAGCACTAGTGCATTTCATTTAATAATTATTATTTTATAAATAATTATCACAGGTGAGTAATTTTTCAAGCTAGAGTGGTATGGTATTTCTTATCAATCAATTAGTTATATATAATACTACTCGTATGTGACTATAAATTAAAAAAGGTTGAATTTCTTTAAGTCTGGTTAACTATACGGTTACATCAGTGAAAGCAAAAATTTAATAAAAAGGCAAATGCAAAAAGGAAAAAAAGCACTTTTGTGCAGTTCATTTAATGATTTTTATTTTATAGATAATTATCTGTTCTTTTTTAGACCACCCTATGTTCCTTGTTGTTACAATAATTACTTTGACCCGATAAACAATACATGTGCAGGTAATAATTTCTCATGAATTGGGTTTGTGGGAAAAGAATTCAAATTGTCATGAATCGCATAATTGTTTTTCATATTTTGGTTAAGAATGCAAGCCTGGAAGAATAGGATGGAATTGCAATTATTCTTGTAAGGAGGGATACTTTGAAGCTTGTGTAAGCAATCCTGCAAATGTAACTTTACTTATTGTGATCCGGAAGTTGGATGTCTGTTAGAAGCTGTAGACAGTAAAAAATCAATGGTTTCGGGTATGCTTTTAATCAAATTTTTCCTTTAAATTAACAAATCAGATAATCAATGACAATATTTGAAAGACATGTCTGTGGACGGTTTATTACTTTTAGAAGACAATAAGAACATCAGCGAAAACAGCTCAACAACAAAAATATTCCTCAAATTTTCTGAAATGGCAAATGATTCAACCGAGACCGAAGATACAGTTATGACAAGGTACGCGTTGAGAATTTAACTAATTGCTCTAAATATCAGATGTTTTGATTAATGATTACCTTACCTTTATAAGGAAACATGAGTTTCAACTCTTAATTCAAAGGTCACTGGTACCAGGTTCCAAAGAACTATCACATGGTAAGTATCACAGATAAGGAAAAAAAAGAATAAGTGGTACATACACCTCAAAGTATTTATGCAAATACATTATATAAAAAGAATTTCCAATTTCCGTATATCATTACAACAGATATGAATAGTTCAAGTCGATATCCACAACAATTTCTTGAAACATGATTCATCTGCATAACTAGACATTTTGAAATTCAAATACTCTAACGATTTTCTTTCTTAGTCAAAGGTTTCTGAAGAAGGATATGGAGATAACGAACAGCATTCAATCTCAAAGTACATTAAACAATATACAAAATTAGAGTAGAGCAAACACGGGCCTCCGAAACATCAGAGGTGGGATCAGGTGCCATGGAGGACTGAGCATCCCTTGCCGACCGGTCACACCCGTCGTGTGCTCGTTGTCATGATCAGGAAATTACGGAAAAAATCCGTCGTCAATTCAGTGTATAAATAATGGACTAACAATTGGTATGGAAAACGTCAGTCAGCATTTGACTCAATGATAAATTGTATTTGCTGACAAGGTCATTGTATCGACCATAGAACTTACGAAATGATGACTTTAAACGAGACTGCTGATATTCTTGTTTCATCAACTTGCTTGTCAATATTTTACCTCGTTTAAGAAATTGTTCATACGTAGAGCATGCTCTTGGTATCGAATCAACTGAGATATATATACTCCGTATACAGGTGATGCAGGTATATTGCTGCATTAGTAAGGGAAGTTGACGAAAGAAAAGTTAAAGTCATCACGTTTATCAGATAGCTTGGTTGTTAGATTACCATTAGTGTCTTTTTCAAGTAAAATATCCAAATATGAAGTAGAAGTGTCGGACTCTGTGGTATCTTTTATCTCAAGATCACCAGGATATATCGTATCGACGTAGGAATGGAAATTATCATTATTAATTGACAATACATCGTCGATATATCTAAATGTCGAGTTGAAGGCCACAGCAAGTGTTTTCTTCTTTTCACGCATAAGATTTTGTATAAATTATGCTTCATATGAATATATGAATATATGAATATAATGACCAATGACGAGATAAGTAAATTTACGAGTTCCATTTTTATTGAAGAAGAAGCTGTCAATGATATCAGAAAGCCTGAATTTTAATTTGTCGTGGGGAATTGTTGTGTATAAAGTTGAAAAATCATAAGTTTTTAAGCTGTTGATTTTTGTAAAGTCTTGCGATTTCAAATTGTCAAAGAATTCTTTATAATTTTTAAGTATCCACCATAAAACAACTTATATTTTCTATTTGGAATCATGCTGACAAAAATCAAACACCATAAAATTTCCATTTTCTCTCTTTCTCTCTCTCTCTCTCTCTATCTCTCCCTCTCTCTCTCTCTCTCTCTCTCTCTCTCTCTCTCTCTCTCTCTCACCAAAATTGTAAGGACACATGTGGTGATGTGAAGCTTTTTTGGAGTATGCCATATTTAGATTTACATTTTAGTTACAATAGCGTTGTTAAAACATTCTTGTGTTGTTATTTTTTCTAATTTGCATAGGTCACATCACGAAAGATGAAGATAGCGGAAAGATACTGCAGTTAATTTCGGAGCAACTGCAAATGATGTGCATTTCCTTATTTTTGATTTTGGGTTGTTTAATCATTCTTCCTCTTGTGCTTTGGTATGTTACAAGAATTATTTTTATATTCTAACAAATACTTCCTCTACAAATTTGAAGCTACTTTAATATAAAGAGATAATGAACAGTACTCAAGCTTAGAATATAAACCAATATTATGCTTATTGAAATACAAGCAATGCCTCTACACTAACATTTAATACATATACGGTTTCAATACAAATTCTGGCCTAGTGTTTTTGAGGTATAAATTTGGTGTTGGAAATTAAACGGCATAATTTCTGTTCTGTTCAAACTTCGTGAACTGTGACCATACAAATCATTTTACTTATATGTCAGTGACATTAAATTTAATATTAACTCTCCTCTATGCCAACAGTATCATGATAATTACATTCATGTGTTCACCTCATAATAAGTCGATTTCAAACCATTCGGTAAACATCGCATTTTTAAAGTTATAATATTAAAACCAAAATACCACTTTTTTTAAAACTAAGTTTTCACAACATGGCTTAAAGGGTGAGGATAAGCACTTTATTCACAACATTTTTAACAAATGTTGTAACATTCTGCATAATGATTTAATGTGTATAAAAAGATCACTATATGAAGCTCTTGGATTCACTTTAGGTATAATATCAGGAAGCGTACGAGAAAACCAGACATCCACATTGGTAAGTTTAAACAACATTTTCAAAAATCCTGATAGATATATTTACGCGAATTTCGTAGACTTGCAGTATGAGCACATGCTTATATTAGTTTCAGCGGGAAAAAATTCAAAGGAAATTTTTTTACCGCGTAAATAGCGTTAATTAATACACCTTGGATAAAAGTACAACAGTTAAGCAAATACTTTTGTTCATGATTATTCCATACTGGTATGTTCAATTAAACCTTTTCGAAAATCTCTCATACTTAAACATATGGAGATAACAAACAGTATTCAAGATCAAAAGTCCATAAAACAAGAAAAAAATATGAGCATAGCATACACAGACCCTCACAATATCGGAGTTGGGGTCAGGTGGCATGGAGGAGTGAGCATTCTTTGCCGACTGGTCACACCCGCCGTGTGCTCCTTGTCATAAACAAAATTAAAAAAAAGCAAAAATTCGTCGTCAATTCGGTGTTAAAATAATTCACTAACAAGTTAGTATTAAAAACGTTATTCAGCATTTGACTCAATGACAAATTGTATTTGCAAGGTCATTGTAAAGACAATAAAACTATGACGTTAAACGCGACTGCTGATATTCATGGACTTCGCTTGTTTGTCAGTAATTTACTTCGTTTTAGAATTTTTTCATAGGTTGAGAACACTCTTGCTTATTGAATCAACTGAGGAACAGTTGTGTCAGTCAGAAACAGTTGTATCGTTAATTGTTTATTGAAATAATGTCATCGATATATCTAAATGTCCAGTAAAGGACACATCAAACGTTTTATTCTTTTCACGTATGGCACCTGATCCCACCTCTGATGTTTTGGAGGTTCATGTTTAATGGACTTTTGTTTAAATGTTTAATGTCAAATATGGCGGTTGAAAAAGATAGTGATCTCTCTGATCTTTTCGAGATGACTACTGTACATATCGAAGTCATAGAGGAAATGACATCATCTTCATTTATAAATGCGCTCCGTCGATTTATCGCCATTCGTGGGCATGTTCACGTCTTTCGATCTGACAGAGGAACAAATTTCATTGGCGCTGCTAAGGAGTTAAAGGTCAATGTGATAAATGTAGAGGATGAACATCTCCACAACTTTCTCAACGAGCAGAGAACAACGTGGATCTTCAACCCTCCCCACTCCTCTCACATGGGAGGAGTGTGGGAACGTATGATTGGGATCACCAGACGTATACTGGATGCTATGCTACTCGACTACGGATCTAGGAGTTTAACGCATGAGGTGCTCACTACATTTCTAGCAGAAGCTTCATCCATAATCAACTCAAGACCCCTTGTGTCGGTACCTACAGATCCTGAGAATTCATTTGTGTTATCTCCATCAACTCTACTCACTCAGAAAACAAGTGTTAAAGACAACAAACTGTTCTCTGATCATGTTAACAAGAGTGAGTTGTTACAGACACAGTGGAGGAGGGTACAACACTTAGCATCCATTTTCTGGAGACGATGGAAGACAGAATACTTGAACACTCTTCAGATGCGCCGTAAGTGGAATCTACCCCAAAGAAATCTATCATCCGGTGATGTGGTGTTACTTTGCGATAAAGAACTACCCCGTAATTCTTGGCCAATGGGAATCGTTGTCAAGTCTCTACCAAGTGATGATGATCTAGTGCGTAAAGTGATAATTCGTATTATCGCGAATGGTGAACCCAAAACTTATGTGCGTCCCGTTACGGAACTTATTGTTCTTGTGGAACAGTGAACATTTCTGTCATTCAGTGCAACAGATAATACAAGAGACTATAAATGGACTGTAATTTAATTTATTACATGTTTACATTATCTTAAATGTCTATTTTGAAATTTGATGATATTGTTAATATCAGGCGAGGAGTGTGCCGTCTTGTAATCCGGAATTTTTTCTTCCGGCATGCCTTGGTTTTCTTTTTTGTTTGTATTTGTTATTTCCGTACGTGTTGCACGAGATTTTCTGTCACTCGTCGCCTTACTCAGTACATGTACAGTCATACTGTTGTTACAGTTGTTTACTCTGCCCACAATGTAAGTATTTCATATATTTAACTTCTTTCAGTTATTTGTATAATGCTTATCTATTTTCGGCAAGGTATTTCTTTCTTATGTGTGTGAATTTACTGTTAAATTTTACAGGGAAATTTGAGTGGCTAAATTTTTCATGTCTTGTCAATGTATGCAGATATTTGTAAAGTAATGCTAATTTCACACACACATATTTCTCAGTATTGTGTCATATTTATTGAGCAAAGGTATTTTTCAGATTTTTCATTAATTTTCTGAACTTTGAGCATTGTACATCACACTTATTATTGTTTTTGTCTATTGTAGCTTTTCACCGTTTCGTTTCGTTTCGTTATGTTTCGTTTCGTCTCAATAAATCATAAGAACAACGGTTAACTAGCTGTGGTTATTAATGGAGGCAGCATACTGTTTAAGTAAGCTGTCTTTTGATAAATTGTTTTAAAAAATATAGGTTCATATTTAAGTTTTCAACAGTTGGATAAAAGTAATTGAAGTCCCCCCCCCCAATTAACGGAGTATAGTCATTTCATTTTATTGTTTTCATATGTAAAGTATCATATCTATATGCTGGATGACCCCATAATCTTCTTTGTTGTTGTAAGGTCTTAACTGGAAAATATCAACAATTGAGATAAAATCACACACACACACACACATTAGAGCTAACTCCCCCTTCTATATACACAGACACAAAATAGGTTTTTGATATGAGTTTAGACAGTTTACTTATTCAAATTACTTTTCAGATATTTTGGCAGTTGCCTATCATTATCGTGTTTATTCAGACAGAAATATATCGTAATTTCATCAATCTTACAGAGCCTGTACCTTCCAGTAGCTCGCTACCTGTACCTGATCATGTTGATACGATAGTGAAAGTCCTTGTTGGACCTTCAACTGCGTGTAACATTGTAAGCCTTGTGGGAACGGCAGCCACGCACAAAACATATGTATATTTTCCGTTATTTTGTTGCTTTTTTCTGCGATAGCTCAAATAAGTTAGATATTAATTGTAAGTCGAAAAATAGCTCTTCAGAACTAATGTCCTTTGTTTGTGTACCCGACTTTAATTGAATATTATCTTAGCAAAAATATTAACATTATTGGTGAAAAGTTCAAATGGACGAAAGAAGAAGAAGAACGGCAGGCATGATATTATAGAGGAGGCAGAAAAATGTAATCTGGGCCTAGAAAACCAGGTGTTTAAGTCCAAGGTGAAGAAGCTGAAGCTGCAGAGAAAGAAGTTGAAAAATGAAATAACGTATATAAAAATGCAGAGGGAGTATTTATTGCTGAAATGAGCAAGGAATTTCCTGGTCATACAATTACATGTACACTTTCCCAGGTCTCTCCATCATCATCTGATTCAGAAGGATTAAATTATGATATTATAATTAATTCCTAGAAATACCTTTTACAATCAGTTGTTCTTTTCGTGTTTAATTAGTTGCCTATGATGGTATTTATAAATGTGGACACATATGTATATACAGTACAGGAATAAGAAGAGAAAAAAAAACGAGGCGGATTTGTTGGAGAAAATTAGCTTTTATTTGAACCTTTTCTTCTGCTGGTATGCTGCTATCCTTTAATTTTGAAATGAAATAGATTTTGATTACCATATATATTGTCCACGGGTATATTTTCGCATGTCATGTTCATAAAAGAATTAACAAACTAGAGCAAAGCTCGTTGCAAAGCAACGAGTAGGTCTTCCGTCCTGTTTTGACCGGAAGTGACGTCAACAAAAGAAAGCAATCAGCTTAGTCGTCTCCAGTCACTTTATAATTTCAATTTTGCATCAAAACTTTAAAAAATGAGGTATTTTTGGCTACTTCCGGTTTGACCGGAAGTGATGTCGATTGACAGAAAATTATGTTTTATGCTTCCAGTGACATATGTAACCCAAAAACTTGTCAAGAGCGGCAAAAATATGCATTTTCTGACTACTTCCGCTTTGACCGGAAGTGACGTCGCCGGACGCATTTTGACGACTTCAATAGATTAAGCTTGACATTTTTAACAACTTTGCTTCTTGGATGTATTACAAATTCTCAAAACTTTTTGAGATATCTGGAAAAAACTTTTGGCCCCTCTAGATCTCTTAATTTAGGGGTCAGCCCTTTTTATGAGATATCATTTGAAAGATCTTGTAATTCTGCACAAATTTTGTTCTATATCTTTTAACAAAATATTTTTAGTTTAGAAGATAAGAAGCAAAATATGTGTAAATTTTCGCTCTTTTAGGCGTTCTAATTTTTGACCCCTATATAGCGCCATTTTGAATAGAGAAATCGAAAAACAAAAACCGCCATGCACAACTTCAATCCTTGTATTATCTAGAATCAGTAAAATTTCTGCTTCAGCTTAAGCCGTCTCTGAGCCTTTGTCTGGAAACGAAAGCCTATAAATTTTCGTTTAAAGGGAAATAACTCAAAACCAGAAGTGAATTTTTGAAATTTTAGATAACATTCTGATAGAGTTTAGCAACGTCTATAAACTCTGAAAATTTGAGCAAAATCCATTGAGAAATGAGTGAAATATGAAGCCTCAAAGTTGGCGTCTAGGAAAAGGAAAAAAAAAAAAGAATAATAAGAACTAGAGCCGAGCTCGTTGCAAAGCAACGAGTAGGTCTTCCGTCCGGTTTTGACCGGATGTGCCGGAAGTGACGTGAACAAAAGAAAGCAATGAGCTAAGTAGTCTCTAGTGACTTTATAATTTCATTTTTGCATTAAAACCTTCAAAATAAGCTATTTTTGGCTACTTCCGGTTTGACCGGAAGTGACGTCGACGGACGGAAAATTAAGATTTAAGATTCCAGTGACATATGTTACCCAAAAACCTGTCAAGAACAGCAGAAATATGAAATTTTTGACTACTTCCGGTTTGACCGGAAGTGACGTCGCCGGACGTATTTTGACGACTCCGTTAGATAACGCTTGACATTTTGAGTAACTTTGCTTCTTTGACGTATTACA